TTTTTTTCTAGATTTATTAGTATTTTTTACTTTTTTAGACTAGCCTAGTCTAGCCTAGTGGGCCCCACTTTACCCTTACACCTTTACCACTGCTTCATCAAGCCGTGGCACATCGAGCCGTGCCCCCTGTTATACAAGGCGGCTTGCGGGCGCCGGCCTGCGCACGGGCCATAATTTCATCGAGTCGTGGCATGACTTAATGCGGATTAACAGGTAAGCCTTATACCCCCTTTTATAAGCCTAGCAGCCTTGCCTGCCCTTGCCTTCTTTTTTATTATAGCCTTTAACCTTACCTTTAGCCTTTTACCTTGCCTTTTTTATTATAGCCTATAGCTTTTAACCTATCCTTTCTTTAGCCTTTTAGCCTTTATCCTTTTACTAACTTTACTATTTGCCTTAAAGGCCAGCCTCTTATATAATAGCTGCAGCGCTAGCTGCCCTTTTTATACTACCTGCTTATACTATAGCTAGTAAGTAAAAGAAGAGGGAATTATATAAGGCATAGCTATAATTTAAGGAGAGGTAGGCTTAGGCCGCTGCTATAGTATAAATAATAAGGTAGTAGGTATTATAATAGTTATATAGTATAGTATATAAGGCTAGCCCTAGGGTCTAAGGTTTTACTATAAGGCTAGTTATTTATTAAGCCCTTAGCTATTAAGTGCTAGCGCTACAGCCTAGTAAGGTCGGCTAGGGTTTATATAAGGCTTTAGCACTGCATAGGCTATAGTTTTATTAAGTGCTAGCAGCACGTAATGCAGATTACAGGATAGGGTATATAAAGGCTTTTGCCTGCCTCTTAGTAGCATACCCTAAGTAAGAGTTAATATACTTCTTAATACCTACTTAATAACTACCCTATAATATAAATTAAAGTATAAAAGTTATATTAATTTTATTTAATATTAAAAAAACTTTTTATAATTAAGTTTATAATAATATTATAAATAATTAAAAAAAAATTTATTTTATTTTTATTTTTTAGTTTCTTTTTTTAATAAAATTTTATTATTATAATATATTATATAGTATTATATTATAATACTTATTTAAAGCTATTATTATTTATTATAGTACTTATTTAAAGCTATTATAATTTATTATTTTACTTTTTTTTTATAAGTTATTATTATATAAAACTTTAATTTTTTTTAATAATAATTATATTTTATATTATAAAATATTAAAAAAAATATAATTACTTCTTTAACTCTTTTAATAATATTATTATATTTTTTCTTTTAAATACTAAATATAGAACTTTTACTTTATTAAGTAAAATTCTTACTTTACTAAGTAAAATGTTTACTTTACTAAGTAAAGTAAAGTATTACTTATATAAAAATATATAATAAGTATAAATACTATAATACTAATAATATACCTAGTTTTCTTTAAAAGCAATTTAATAAGAATTTATTATAGTTTAAATAAGAGAACTCTATTTATATTAATAAAGCTTTAAGATAAAAAATTCCTATAAAATGTCTAAGAGCTTTGTCGCCATGCCTGAAATTCTAACATGCAAGTGGTTTCTCTTGCGGTTTCTCCTGCGGCTTGTCTAGCTGATACTCGCTTGGAATGTCTTCTGGCCATGCATCCACACCGTCCAAGATAACAATTCCCATTCCACCCATTAAATGGAGCTCAATGTGGCAGTGGAATAGCCAAGGGCCAGGGTTGTCGACATAGTACCTGAAAACGCTCCATGAAGCCTCCTCATTAAAAGAAAACGCTGTGATCCATGTGTCACGCAGGCCAGGAGTCTCCAAGTTGAAATCCTCAGGCCGCTCTTCAATCGCCTCCTCAACACTGGTGTAGTTCCAAACGCCCGTTCCAAAGCCGATTCTCCATGTTTTGCTGCCGTGCTTGTGGATGAAATGTTCAAATGCAGATTTATCGCCAGGCAGAGTCGACACCTGCAGGATAAGATCAACCCAAGTTCCATTCTTAGTACGGATCACTAAGTTTTCGTCCTCAGTGCCGAGCGTGGCGTTGGGATAGAATAGCAGGGGATCGTCATTCTGAAAATCCACTGGTAATAGATACTTGGTGTTCATAGTGTAATTGTATGGTGCGCCGACGCGACCAAGTGCGAGAAAAACTTCCTGGTCAGCCTTCCCGGGTCGGGGCTTATTCGGAGGCCACGGCGGCATGTGATCCGTCTCCAACTGCCACGGGAAATAAGAATGCAACTCGACATCTGGCGTGATTGGATTACCCCCATAAGAAAGGTACGCTTTCTCTGAGGTAGGGCTTTGCGAATGGCCCGCATAGACCATTTCGGCAAAACCACCTAGTACCTGTGAAGCCCCAGAGTTGGGTATGCGCATTGTGTACTTTCCCGGTTCTTGGTCGAGTTTCATCATAATCGAAAAGGTCTCTCCCGCAGACATTACGGTCGACACGAACTTCTTGGGCTGCACGTAGTTGCCGTCGACCTCGTATATCCAGAAGGGGTGTTGGTCGACCGAAAACGCAATCTGAGCGATGGTGGCAGCGGCTACTATGTGCATGCTCACCCAACCGTTATTCTTGCACGGGTCAACGACAATAGTTGCATTCTCGTTCTTGGATGCAACGCAACCTTCCTGCACCCGTGGCGGTATGAGGTCTGGACGCTTGGTGATGTTCCAGGGGCCGCCCTGAACTTGGTCGATATCCGCCGGGAAGCACCTAGCCGCACGCAAGTCAGTATGTATGGAATGCGATTGAGCGATTAGGGGCTTGGCATATGTGTAGCTCACCCTTTGTCTGAGACCTCAGTGCCCGGCGGGAATCCATTCTGAGCTAGGCCTGGAGCAAGCTCACTTTGAAGAAACTTCTGGCCCGGACAGTAAAGCTCTCCTTTACCGTTAACCAGAATGCTGTCGAGGCAACTGTTTGGCTATTAGTTACGTCGTCGCGGTAGAAGTGGTTTCTGGATGCACATACAAAACAAGAAGACCTGAATCAGTGGATATCTTCCAATATTCTTCAGAAGTATACTGGCTCCAGTCGGATACGACGAGATACTCGGGATCACGGGCAGCCTTTTCCATAGCTTCGATGTCTTTTTCGTCGTCGCTTATCTGACTCCATAGCCCAGTACGATCTTGCTTCGGCCTATACAGCTGTTGGTCAGCTTTCAAGTGCTGAAAGGCTGAAGTGCGGGCATGACTGACCTGATATGAATAGCTCCATAGAGCCCATCGACCAGTGACATCTTTTCATGGGAGTGATACCAGTGATTTCCTGGAGGCGACGCTTTGAACTTGTATACGAACTCCTTTCCGGGCTGGATGGGTCGTTGCGAAAGACCAGGAGTGCCATCGGACCAAGGGGTATCTTTCTGACTGCAAAGAGCGTTCAGTGTTAGCCAAACCATTCTGTAAGCAAAAGAGGATGGAGTCGAACGAACTCTAGGCCGTGCCAGTGCACAGTAACATTCTTTGCCATGTCATTGATAACAGTTACCTGGAGGCCCCTTGCGTTAGTATTGGTGGAACAGTTGATCAAATGATGCAAAACACTTACTTCAACGTCATCCCCTTCGTCCCAGACAAGCGTTGGACTCGGAAATTGTCCATTTGTGTGGATGAACTCTCTCGACTGCCCATTTGGAGCGCCCTCTTCCCAAGTAATTCGCAAAGTCTCTCGAACAGTCTTTGCCCAAACGTCTGTGGGCAAGAGACTCGCCACCAGCAGCACCCACGCAAATCGGCTCATCATGAATGAATGCCAGTACTGGAGGATCTGAATCTTGAGCGAGTATCGTTGTGTCATGCGATTGAGACAGATGGTTGTGTAAATTCCTACTACAAGGCCATTCTTATATCGTGAATCTTAGGCAGACTGTTTTGACAGGGCATCAGAGCCGCAGTCTCCCCAAGAGGCCCAAGTTCGAAAAAGTCGCCTCCCAGCAGACGAAAAAGGAACAATATTGTAAGCAGTTCTGCATTCATCACAGGTAATCATGCATTCGCTCAAGCTCCTGCATTCAGCGGAGCAGCTCTGTGCCACTCTATTAATTGATGCATCTGTCATCTACTGAAGCTAGCACTGCATGCATCAGAAACAAATAGCGCCGGAGCTGTAAGATACCCTGTAATACGCGGAGACTTTCGTCTGTGTGATTGCGACGGAGACTATTATCTGGATGGATCGAGAAATTGTATGCCCCTGATAAGGGAGGGACGCGGTGATGGACAGCATTGACTTCCCGATTCGTTGTAATGACCGTCAATTCATGTGACGCAAGGAATGCAAGGCACGCGAATCGCTTTTTGCTGCGAGAGATCGAATTTCCCATCGCAGCGGAAGCCGCCGCAATCGGTATCACACCAAAATGACGAGGTTGCCGAAAGCGTCGTTCAGCCATGCCATTATCCACACTTGACCCCTTGCAGAATTCCTCTGCATGGTCGTACACATGCTTCCGATGAATGCGGTATCGCGTCGCACGGCTCAGCTCCCTAATCCCGGCATTAATAAATGCCATGCTCATGACCTCTCTTCACTTGATGCTTTAGTTAGAACATCTCGACAACTTACCAACAGGCGCATCAATCGCGTCATCGACTTTGTATCAAGGGCTTATTTCCCCGTCGCGAGATTCAGGACACCAGAGTTCCCAATGGCCATCACAGACTCCCCTCTTCCAAAACCACAGCAGCTACTATGTCTTACCATTACTGCCTATCGTAAACCAGGACTTAGCGAGAGTGCCTACCGAGAGTACATGACCAAGACTCATGCTCCGCTAGTTAGCGGACTGATGAAGGAATATGGGATCGTGCGGTATAACATGGTAAGCCGTTTGTTTTTACCTGACATGCCTTCACACAGGTAGATTCTGATGACGCTCCAGACCCATAACGACAGCACAAGTCGGCCTTTGCTTTTCCAGCTATATGACCCCGAATTCTCAAAGTTGTCCGACTACGATTGCATTGTGCAGTTTGTCTTTCGGAACATGGAGGACTTCCTACGGATGAAGGCCGATCCGCGCTTCTTGGAAAAAGTAGCGCCCGATCACAAGAACTTTGCCGACACTTCACGATCAACGTGAGTCATCTTCTTCTCTATTCCAATATTAAAGTATGAGAGCCTTATGAAGGGACGCTGACAATCACATGGCTATAGTATGACGATTGGCTACTTTGAAGAATTCCTGGATAACGGAGAGCTTGTGCCCAAATAACTCCTCGTTACCCATAGCGATTAGAAGCAAAAGTTCGGGAAGATGGGAAACGGCTGCTTTGTATCTTCTGTAATGTGCGACAGTAGACTGCCTAAGTACTGTGAAAGATATAGTTAGACGTTATAGACTGACTTTAAGTTCACCTATTTTCTAGGCAGTAACTGGTATTGGTGAGGAGTTTCCGATTTTCTACGATGCTGTTTATAATAAACAGTGTAAAAAGCTCTGATTCTTGTCTCGTCGTAGCTTCATTTAGTTTCCGGAACTGTTCTAGAGGTGTATCGTACAAAGTCTATGTATCTTGCATATATAGGTCGGTACTCCTCGGCCTCAACACTGGCTGAGAGCTTGTTCTAACTTCTTGCGTAATTCAAGTAGACATACGGAGTATATTGAACAACCTTGAGTAGTAACATGGAACATTAGGCCAGGAATGTGGACAGCTTGGAAACTCGTATAGAGGAACTAAGCTATATTTAGAACAGCCGTTTTCAGTATACCTTGACATTTATTCACAGTTAGAGAGATTGCAAGGCTGAACGATGCGAGTCAGTGTGTGGTAGCAACTAGTCAATTCCGGTGAACGTAGAGTCATACGACAGAACTGGATCCTCTTGGGAGATAATTACATGTACTGTTGCTATCAAGGAGTCTTCCAGAATCCCCCGCCCACTGTAATAAGCTAATGTCTTTCGTGAAAGAGTCCTTGCTAATTTCTTCTATATTAAACTAAAGTCTTATCTCGAAAATGGTCGAGATGATATCACTGACTTCGACTTACACAACATTACGAGGCGCAATATTACATCGGGGAACACAACACTACGGGCGGCAATATTGCATTGTGCTACACAATAGTACGGATTGCAGGGCGGGAATATTGCGCCGTGATACACTATATTACAGGCGCAATATTGCATCGTGGTACACGACAGCGCGGGCCGAAATGCTGCATCGTGATCCCGAGCCGCTCTTGGTATGGGGTGATCGCAGTTTTGGCTTTATCTCTGCCTCACGCAGCTCTGAAAGCGTATGTGGCTGAGTCTCAGTTTGAGACAATGAGATCACCACTCCAGAGCACATGCAATGATTTGGAATGTACTTAGTTCTCACCGTGTATTCCTCTGTTCTGCTGGTATATTACTTAAACTAAACACCTGAAGGACCAAGAGTGTGAATATTGAGTCTAACTTCCAGCCCTTTTGGTGACTTTTGGCTTCTGTGTACGCAATGCTGGATTCAACGTCTGCCATGGATAGTACGACAATCTACCAAACCGATGCCGAAGTTCGCTCGATTCGAGTTCTTGTTTTTGGAGATCAGAGTAGCTGTAGCCTGTCGAAGTTGCAGCCGCTACTTTTGAAGAAGGACAATCCTTACTTGACCTCTTTTATCGACCAAGTTAATCACACTCTGAGACACGAGGTAGCTCGACTTCCGACTGCAGAGCGACAATCGTTTCCAGCTTTCTCCAGCATCCAAAACCTTGTCTCTCGAGTCTTGAAAGCCGACAAAAAGAACGAGAATGCGGCGTTAGAGAGTACTTTGGCAACTGTCTATCAGTTGTGCTGTTTCATCAGGTAAGATGTCCTCGACAGCGACAGTGCCGGCGAAGCCAGAGGCTGATACTACGCAGTCACTTCGGAAATGGCCAAGAAACGTACCCAACGGGCCCGAGTACACACGTCGCCGGGCTGTGCATTGGAGCACTGGCCGCAGCAGCAGTCAGTTCCTCGCAGTCACTTGGCGAGCTGGTGCAAGCAGGCATCGATGCAGTTCGGGTGTCGCTGAGAGTAGGCCTCTTGGTTGCCAGAACGGCAGCTTTGTTCGATCATCCACAGTCGAATATCAGCTCTTCTTGGTCATACGTTGTCCCCGAATCACAATTCCCACTAGCACTTGCCGAAAAAGCCATTGCGTCCTACAAGGACAACTCTGTGAGTAGATGCCACTATATTCCTTTACAAGGAGAAGATGACATTTGCTAATCGAGCAGAACATTCCTCCTCTTTCCTCGCCGTATGTCAGTGCAAAGGGCCCAAATTCTTGGACAGTCAGCGGTCCACCGGCAGTTGTGCAGCACTTCCTGGAATCTTCGCAGTTTGCGGGGAAATTGAAGTTTACGCCGATTGCTGTGCACGCTCCTTATCATGCGTCGCACATCTTCTCTGCGGGAGATATAGAACGCGTACTTCGGGACGTTGGTTCGGTCAGCGGCCTCGCAAGCAAAATACCATTCGTCTCCAGTTCGACTGCCCGAAAGCCTCTACAAGGGACTCAATTCCAAGACTTGCTTCATCATGTTCTCGAGGGCATTCTCATCTCACCTCTGGATTTGGGAGAAGCAGCCGAGAACATACAGAAGGTGTTCGAAGCAGCAGGCCCTGCGAGCCAATGCGCATTGCTTCCAATTTCAACCAATGTTTGTTCGAGTCTCAAGCTCTCATTTCCGCCAATGCTTTCGAGGCGTGTCGTTGTCATTGATAGCATCATGGAGGGCATTGCATCAGGTACAGGATCGAAATCTTCTAGTACAGCTAGGCCAGGCGACTCCAAGATCGCTATCATTGGGATGTCTGGAAGATTTCCAGAATCCGCAGATGTTGAAGCATTCTGGGACCTTCTCTACAAGGGACTTGACGTTCATCGGCGTGTGCCAGAAGACCGATACAATGCAGAGTTGTACTACGATGCCACTGGCAAGCGTAAGAACACAAGCAAGGTCATGCATGGGTGCTGGATAAACGAACCAGGCCTATTTGACGCAAAGTTCTTCAACATCTCACCAAAAGAAGCCGAGCAATCCGATCCCGGCCAACGCTTGGCCCTGGCGACCGCGTATGAGGCACTTGAGATGGCAGGCATTGTTGCCGACCGAACACCGTCAACTCAACGAGACCGTGTTGGTGTCTTCTACGGCATGACCAGTGACGACTATCGAGAAGTCAGTTGCGGTCAGAATGTGGACACCTATTTTATCCCAGGTAAGAGACAAGTCCGAAGCGTGGATTGCCAGGAGGCCAAGGTGTCTAATCCAGTTCAGGCGGCAATCGAGCCTTTACACCGGGCAAGATCAACTATTTCTTCAAATACTGCGGTCCTTCAGTCAGTGTTGACACCGCATGGTAAGTCTTTGAAAGTCGTTCACAATGGTCCCTGATTCAACTGACACGATCTCTATAACCAGCTCGTCGAGTCTTGCGGCAATTCATTTAGCTTGCAACTCCATCTGGCGAAATGAATGCGATACAGCCATTGCAGGCGGTACGAATGTAATGTCGAACCCCGATAGTTTCGCAGGGTTAGACCGTGGGCATTTTCTCTCAAGGACAGGTGTGTTATGCTGCCGCATTGGTTGAGAGCTACGAGCTGACATTCTTTTCAACAGGCAACTGCAACACGTTTGATGATGCAGCCGACGGTTATTGTCGGGCAGATGCAGTCGGTACAGTTGTCCTGAAGAGGCTTGAGGATGCAGTCGCAGACCGTGACCCTATCCTTGGAGTCATTTTGGGCGCTCATACAAACCACTCTGCCGAATCCGTGTCCATTACACGGCCGCACTGCGGAGCTCAAGAGGAAATCTTCTCCAAGATACTCACTGAGTCTGGCGTCCATCCTCACCAAGTCAGCTACATCGAAATGCACGGGACCGGAACTCAAGCCGGCGACGCGACGGAGATGGCCTCAGTCCTGAAGGTTTTCGCTCCCTCGACTACGAGATTGCCCCATGAAAGTCTTTATCTGGGATCGACAAAAGCAAACGTCGGCCATTCTGAGTCCGCATCTGGAGTCACGGCCCTAATCAAGGTTCTGTTAATGATGCAGAAGAACCTGATCCCTCCACACTGCGGTATCAAGGGGAAGATCAATCACAAATTTCCCACCGACCTGGATAAACGCAATGTCCATATAGCCAAAGCTGTCACAGAGTGGAAGCGAAGGGATGAACTCAACAACATACGTCGCGCCTTCGTCAATAACTTTTCGGCTGCTGGTGGCAACACTGCACTGCTGTTGGAGGATTATCCAGAGCTCACAATGTCTTCGTCAACCCTGGACCCCCGGGCGGCTCACGTGGTGACGATATCCGCCAAATCCATTCAATCTCTCAAGGGGAATGTAGCAAAACTCGCAGAGTTTGTGCGACAGCATTCACATACGGAAGGGTTCTTGGCCAAGTTGTCTTATACGAGCACGGCTCGCCGGATGCACCATCCGTTTCGCATCGCAATCGCGGCTACAGATTGCGAGCAGTTGCTTGGCGCTTTAGAGGGAGAAGTCAATCGGGACAATCACAAACGATCTACAGAAGCGCCTGTCGCTTTTGTCTTCAGCGGTCAGGGATCGCAGTATAGCGCTATGGGCCAGCATTTACTGCAATTTGCAAGCTTTCGCGAGGAGATCAACTCTTACGACCTCTTGGCGCGACGGCACGGATTTCCATCCATTTTGCCGCTTATTGACGGATCCGCCAATATTGACGATCTCGAGCCGCTCGTTGTCCAACTAGGCACTACATGTGTGCAGATGGCACTTGCAAGCTTCTGGGTGTCACTGGGAATGCAGCCGGCCTATGTTGTCGGCCACAGTCTGGGTCACTACGCTGCTCTAAAGGCCGCGGGTGTTCTCACGGCAAGCGATACCATTTACCTTGTCGGCATGAGAGCCCGACTCCTGCAAGAGAAATGCAGCAGAGGAAGCCACGCGATGCTGGCAATCCGAAGCAGCGTCGATCAGATCCAGACATATTTGGATTCAACTCTTCATGACGTTGCGTGCATTAACGGTCCACAAGATACAGTCGTCAGTGGCTGTGTAGATGATATTGAAGAACTTGCTCGGAAACTCACAGACAGCGGCCTGAAGGCAACGAGGGTCAACGTTCCGTTTGCGTTCCATTCGGCACAGGTTGACCCGGTATTGGATGGACTGGAAGCCATTGCTTCTCAAGTCACGTTCCACTCTCCGCGCGTGCCAATAGGCTGTCCTTTACTAGGCAAGACATTCCATGCCGGCGAGATGCCTTCCTTTGAGGCCAAGCACATCAGCCGTCATTGCAGAGAAGCTGTCAACTTCCATGGCGTTCTGCAGTCAGCTAAAGCAGACGGCGTGATCTCCGAAAAGACGACCTGGATCGAGCTAGGCCCGCACACAGTCTGCTCAACCCTTCTTAAAGCAAATCTTGGACAAGACGTCACTGCTGTTCCTTCCCTGATGCGCAATAAAGATGGGTGGCAAGTTCTCACTTCAAGTCTGGCAACCTTGTATTGTCAGGGGTTGACCATAACTTGGGACGAGTATCACCGCGACTTTGAAGGATGCAAAGAGGTGTTGCCTTTGCCGGCTTATAGCTGGGATAACAAGAGGTATTGGATTGAGTATGTGCATGATTGGCTGCTCACACGGGGTGATCCTCCTGTTCAGCCCACCGCCCCAGCACCAGCGCCCACTTCTTTCTCAACCGCCTCTGTTCATCGGATTGTGCATGAGCTCGTCGACAAAGGAAAACTCAGCATCACAGCGGAGTGTGAATTTACAAGCGAGCAGTTGCGCGAAGTCGTGTACGGCCATGTCGTCAATGGCAACCGAGTTTGCACGTCGGTATGTATTTCCTCACCCCTCCTGACCATATATGCTTGCTTTATCTAACAACATGGTAGTCATTGTACACAGATTTTGGCGTGACATTGGGCAATTATGTCTTGGGCAAATATCGTCTGGATCTCAAAGATCACTCGGTGGATGTCCAGGACATGGTTGTTCATAAAGCTCTGGTCCACAAGGAAGGTTCACCGATGCTACTTAGGATCGACATTAACCATGATGTAAGCGTCAGCAAGGATGCATCGATGTCCATTTACAGCATCAATGCCATGGGCAAGAAGACAGTCGACCATGCTCAATGCACGCTTTCCTTCGAGCAGCCCAAGGTCTGGCTCAAGAGCTGGGATAGTACTCAATACTACGTTGAGCGCAGTATTGAGTGGCTCAAAGGGAAAGCTGATCAAGGTCTCAACAGTCGTCTTTCCTCTGGTGTAATCTATAAGCTGTTCTCCAGTCTGGTTGACTACAGTAACGCTTACAAGGGCATGCAAGAGGCTATCGTTGACGCCGAGGACTTTGAGGCAACGGCTCTAGTTCGGTTCCAAGTTGATGAGGGCAATTTCCACTGCAATCCCATGTGGATTGATAGCTGTGGTCAGCTTGCTGGATTCTTGATGAACGGCCATTCCAAGACGCCCAAAGATCAAGTGTTCATCAACCACGGCTGGCAGTCCTTCAGAGCCGTAAGGAAGTTCTGCAAAGACAAGACATACCGCACCTATGTCAGGATGCGACCCATTGAAGGCACCACTTATGCCGGAGACGTCTACATCTTTGATGATGATGGTATTGTCGGCGTTTGTGGTAGCATTACTGTAAGTTGACACTCGCAAAGCCGTGTGTAATCTTTGTTTACTGACTTGCGCAGTTCCAAGGTATTCCTCGTAAGGTACTAAACAACGCGATGCCGCCGCCGAAATCTGTCAGTGAGCCTCAAGTACAGGCACGTTCTGTGGCGAGAGCGGAGGCCCCGAAGAAGAATTCAGCTGCGCCAATTCCCATAGCCCGCACGCATGACACCAAGATTGAACCGCAGAAGCTCGAAGCGGCTCTGAAGTCTGCTTCTGCTGCGGCAGTTGCGAAAGAACCTCTGCAGGCCGTCATCAAGATCTTGTCTGAAGAGATCGGCATTCCTTTAGCCAGTATCCAGGATGATCTTGCTTTTGCGGACTACGGGGTTGACTCCCTTCTCTCCCTCACAATTTCCGGACGACTGCGCGAGGAACTTGACTTGGACGTTGAGTCGTCAGCCTTTGAGGCTTGCGCAACATTTGCCGAGTTCGCTGCCCACCTGGGCTTGAAGAATTCCACATCAGATCAATCTTCCGAGCAGTCAAGTGTCTTTGAGATGGTCTCTCCACTCAGCGACAGCTCTGACGCCATGACTAGCAACGCCATCACTACCCCAACTCGAAGTCTACCTGAATCGGTGTCTGGGAGTATATGTAAAGATGTGTGTGCTATTCTGGCAGAAGAGATTGGCGTGTCTACGACTGACATTATGAATAATGCAAACCTTGGTGAAATGGGCATGGATTCGCTTATGTCGCTGACAGTACTCGGCCGCATCCGCGAAGAATTGGAGATTGAGCTAGATGCTGATTTCTTCGTATCGCATCCCACTTTTGACTCATTCAAGCACTTCTTCCAGCCAGCTGCCAAGGAACAAGTTGAGCCAGAGCCGTTGGGCGAGCTGAAGCAGTACCGGGCAACTTCAACGCTGCTGCAGGGCAGCCCCAAGTCTGCGCTCTATACTCTGTTCCTCCTTCCAGACGGATCTGGCTCCGCGACCTCGTACGCGCCCATCAACGCAGTCGGCAAAGATGTCTGTGTGTACGGCCTCAACTGTCCCTGGTTGAAGTCGGCCGACAAATTGGTTCAGTTTGGTCTAAAGGGATTGGCTTCGCTCTACATTGAGGAGATTAGGCGCCGAGCACCACACGGACCGTACAGTCTGGGAGGCTGGTCAGCGGGAGGCATTTGTGCCTATGAAGCAGCAATCCAATTGACACGCGCAGGCGAAACAGTCGAACGCCTGATTCTTCTCGATTCTCCCAATCCGATTGGTATCGAAAAGCTGCCCGCACGACTCTTCGATTTCATTAATGGCCTGGGACTTTTTGGGGAGGGAAAAGCGCCAGACTGGCTCCTCGCTCACTTTCTTGCATTTATCGACGCACTCGATGAGTGGAAACCAGTCCCATGGGAGAAGGCTCTCTGTGGCAAAGCATCACCACCCAAGACATATATACTCTGGGCTGAGGATGGCGTATGCAAGGACACGGACGCACGCCCAGAATACAGAGACGACGACCCGAGAGAGATGCGGTGGCTGCTGGAGAATCGGACAAATTTCGGCGGGAATAACTGGGAGATTCTGCTCGGTAGCGAGAATCTGTCGATTGAGCGTATACACGATGCGAACCACTTTACAATGCTGCACAAGGGCAAGAACACAGAGCGTGTAGCAGAGTTTATTAAGGGCACTTTCTCAAGGTAAAAGGATTAATAAAAGAGTTGGTTTAATTAATAATATAAGGGAAGTAAAAGAAAAAACCTTTTTATTATATATACTTTTAATATATATATCTTATTTTTATTAAGTATTCTTAGAATTAAGAATAAAAAGTAAAACTCTCTCTATATATATATACTTACTAACTAACCTATTAGTAAAGTTTTAAATTTAATAACTATATTTCCCCTTTTTACTAAGCTATTACCTTTAAAGCTATAAAGGCAAACCTCTCTATCCTCGCTGCTGCTTGCTATTTAACCTAACGTAAGTTATAGAAAAGAAGCAGAGAGTTTATCTAATTGCTATAATGCATTAGGCGGGACAGAGATACAGTCGAGCAATAAGTCTTGCAGGAATACTGTGCTTCTCGAGTATTGTTAAGCGGGCGCAATTAATAACGCTTATCAAGGTCGGTTCTAACTTATCCCTCCCTATCTGATTCATTATCGGCGCATTCTAATACAACCAGTTGTCTGTTATGTTATTAGCAAAGCTGTCTTTTTACGGCTATGTAGACGCGAGAATTAACATCCTATAGCCGTCACTAGTATTCAAGAACATCAGGTGCCTAGAAATGTATTAAAATACCCCTGTTAAAGAGAATCCGCTAATGTGGTTTATTGAGCTATAACTGCTAACGTGCAAATATCCTATATCATTTCTGCAAATTGCTTCATAAGATTCATATTCCTGAATCGTTTCGTATGGAAAGATTGAAGTGAAATAGCCACTTCTACATCTCGGTGTCGACTGTCTATAGACCCGAGCTTATCCCGCGGTGGCAGTATCACACACATCGGCATAAGGGACATTTGAGCGACTCGCAGCGCCTCACATTTGCCAATCTGGGAACCCCATTCAACATCATATATTCGATGATGCGCCCAGCTAGCGATATAGAACTCGTTCAGCCTCTTCGGTCGCCACTGTAGCTTGCTCGCATCCTCCTGAGTGTCGACATAGGCGATTATTTCTTTCATTTTCATGTTCGTCACTCCATCTACTCCTCGGCGAATAGCTGCAGCGACACTGGCCAACATTTCGAGCGATTTTCCTGTGGCCGCAGCCAAAAGGTGTCTCCTTGACACCTCAATGTAGGCAATTCCAATTGCACATCCGAGGAAGTCGGCCGGGAGGCGTGGCTGAAGTTTCGACCGGACATTTACTGAAACACCCGTCGAGCAATGATTCGACGAAATCCAAGGCCAAGACTTGGTATTCATTGCCATCGTAGCGCAGCTCCATACCAGAGCGCATACTACATCGTTTGTTGAGAGAAACTGTACCCCAAACTCGGAGCAGAGTTGGTTCAGTGTAGTTTTGAGATTCCGAAGCTTGTAGGACGGCAGACGGTACATGGTGATAGGCCAGGAAGGCTGAAGAGGCTTAGGCAAGATCGAACCGAATGGTAGCTGAAGTAGAGACATGATCTGGGGAAGAAATCGCCCTTTACTGGATACTTTGAAGATCACAGAGGGCTGAGGTCGCCTATGTTCTAAGTCGTTGTTCTCCAGCATCGCCTTCCTGTTCATCCGGTCTTGGCTCACCTTTGGAGACTGGCCAAGAGGATCGCGACAGGACGCTGCCCACATGTCGAGCAGTTCTGATAAGGCAACACCGTCAAAGACACAGTGGTGAGCAAGGACCACGAGCACAAAGCCTCCACGAAGCCGCGTGATTTCGGCACGCATAACGGGCCAAGGCGCAGCGAATGGCACTTCCGGAATGTGAGGATAGAAGAGACAGGAATCCGGAAAAATTGGGAAAGAGGCCTTTCTCAGCATCTCGTAGTCCGGTATATCTCGCGATACATTTTCACGATATACCAGAATGTTGTCGATAGTATCGCGTCCGCAGCCAAGTCGGATGTTTCCCGGCCGGGAAGCGTCGTTTAAGACGAAAGATGTTATCTGTGGGACATTGACGGCAACTTTGCTCAACCCTTGCTTCAGCAGTGGAACCAACGCGTCGTCTGTACAGGGAAAGCAGAGTATTTCCCCAAAGTACATGCGAGGAAGAATTTGGTCAATTGGGGACAAGTACTCCCAGTCCATGTTGCATGTGACTGCTTGTTCCATGCTTAATGCAAGCAGACCGAAAGGAGAGTTGCAAGACGATATGTAGGCGAGGGACGCGCACGAGGTGGTCGTCCAGTTTGCCTTCTTTTCTGTCGTACGTTTTCTTGAATAGAAGAAACGACATCAGCTGAACCAGGGCCTACCTGTTGCTCTTTAATATTTCTTTCCGCGCTCGAGTCATTAAACTGGGTTGGTCCGTGTGATCCAGCCACAGTAGTAGGCTCAGAACCCAACAGTCGCTTGGCTAGATAGGGTGGAATCTCCCATGATCTTACCTGTCAGTGTGATAACGCTTACTGACTGACCTATGTATAGGTGCAGTTGAGCTGAGTGACCACGAAAACTTTATGGAGATATACAAAGGGTTGGACTTTCGATAAAATTTTAACTAGGCGGTATACTTGATTTAAGGTAGTCCAAATCTACTCGTATCCACAATTCTACGATGGATGAGAACTTCGCGCAAATGACTTTTTCGAGAATAACTGGCTGTACGGCTCTAATTACATTCCTTCAGTTGCGCCTATATATGCCCACCATCAATGCATAGGTACCTAGGTAGTCTTTCGGGGATTTCATACCCCTCATAGCCAAACGCTACCACTCCAAGCTGTTATTGGAAGCAGCTTCCACCCGGTAGGCCAATTGTGCCGATGCAGTTGACCAGCAATAGTACAGCTCCCGCACACACTTGAAGTAGAGGTAGCACAGTAGCAACACCCATTGACAAACAAGCAATCGCAACGCAGATACCGTTCCGCGGGGGAACGCTGATGGTATCTCGTGCTTATTGTCAGCTACCTGGCAATTATGATCAGACTCGTCGGAGAAGTCTTTCGACCTGCGATCTCCTCTCCGCAGCTTGTCTTCGATGCTGTAGAAGCGGAGCAGCCATCGCCACTGCAGGTAGCACTCAAAAGTCTCCCAAATGATGGGAAGTGGGACGGCCAGCCCGAAGTATGCGTAAGCTTGATCCCATGTGTGCAAGAAGTAGAGAACATTAAGATAGCAGCTGAGCACCGTGGTGACAGTTAAGCCTGCAACACAGAGTGCGAAATATCTGTGGAGGGTGCCGCGTTCCAAGTATCTCTTTCCCACTCGCAGTACAAAGACTCCAGCGCTGGCAAACACACCGCCCGTCGCTGCGCCAAAAAAGACGAACATCATGAGGCTGCGGGAAACCAGGGCATCGGCTGAACTGAAAGATGAGAAGCACAGGCGTGTCCAAAGGAGCAGTGCTGGTCCCATGCAGTGATGGAGAACGCCAAAGACATCTTCCCTGTAGATCATCAGGTCAAATAGATAGGCGCCAGTCATCAAGGAGCTACATTTGAACAGTCAGTAAGCGATCCTTCTCCATCAAAACACTCCTTTGAGACGAACCAGGCGGTCAATGAGCGCTGAGTATCAACAGCCGTCCAGTTAGAGGCTGGCGTGAAAACTAATACTACCGAAGGCAGAGAGAAATAGACGAGGCCGATTCGGACAGGAATACAGGCAATCTCGATACACATCCGGTTACGCAGCGTTTCGGGAAAGCAATCCCATTTGGGAAGCTTTCGCTCCAAGTAACCGTGGATATATTCATAGAGAATACCAGTAGCGATGAAGGAAAGCAAGACGATATGAATGTCTGTGTCAAAAACCCCGAAGGGAGCCATCATTCTTGGTTCCAAAGACAGCAAGTCTGTGAAGTGGAAGTGAAGCAAAAGGAGAATTGAGATACTCTGGTATGAGGTTGAGAGGACCCAAGGAGAGAGCGGAACAGGGAGTTATGGGCCCCCATCCGGCAAATTGTCAACCTATCTATCGAGCCCTTGATGCAACGAGTCCTGCTAGTAAGGCTGATACTCAATCTAGAAGTAACTCCCGCATTGAATAGACCACAATAGGTGGACTTAAACCTAACAAGGGACGAGTTTCTTACTCTCAGGCACCCATAGAGGGGCGTGGAACTACAGGGGTCGCTTTGATAACATTTTGGCTCCGAGGCTGGCCGCAACGGTATCCCCCCGATATTTATCACCTGTGAGACACGCCGCAGGGATGAACATGGAACGAAAAGGTGGCCCATTGCCCTTGGGAGTTATATATAGCCTCTCCCCGCATCTAGCTTGTCGTCTCGAGTGAGGAAACAAAGACCAATCTTCTTGCTAGGCCTACCCTTATGTTATAGTAGGTGCGTGTGCCGGAACGTGGACGAAGGAGCACGGATGGCAACAAGTGGGATGTGCGGCCACACCCACGGCGCTACTCTGTAGATCAATACCTCGTTAGACTCTTCTACGCCGTCGGCCAAGCCCGTGCTCTGCGTGATAATACAAGCGGCTAAACTACAAATCCAAGGTGTATAAGGACAATAGCAAACGCTCCACTTAACTACATGCACAGAAGAGAATGGGCACGCAATTAGAAAACTTGAGAAAGATTTGCTTCTGTTTGCTTCTATGTGGTATATGGGCCACTACATGGGAAGAGTCACAACTTGATACGCTACACGAGGATCATCGCGTCAGACGTATCTACCCTCTCGAACCACATCAATGAAACTCCCGCTTTCATATGCCCTTCAGTAATACTGATTCAGTAATACTGAGTAAAATCTCGGCTCATTTAGACCAAAGCTTTCTTTGGTTGATTAGACGGCTTTCGATTCTCCCCCGTCGCTCCCATACGGCCATCCCATCTTCCGATAATGCTCGCACAATCTATTTGGGCTCATGATCTGCCTATCGTCAGTGTTGTAGGCCTTCTCACGTCCATAGTGCGCTCACATGCAAGACGGTATTTTGAGCGTACTATTCCAGAATGGCCTCAGCTTGACGAGGCAGTTAAGAGCCGATTAGCGGTCGAGGTGGGCGTCATACCATCTCGAGTTGTTCTGTTCTACCTCACTCTACCGCTGGTGCTAAAGGGCTTTTCTCCAATGGACTCATGGACTGCTAATGATACAGCAAAGTCCTTAACATCATGGTGCGTAGAAGACGGTTACGTGTACTCCAACATCAACTAATGGTAGTTTCCTAGTGCTATTCTGACTGGATCTTACATCATTGATCTTACTGTCACGAGGAACGATAAGGCCTCTACGTTGCACCATGTCATGGGCCCAGCTCTGCTTCTTTGGATACGCCTCTGTTTCTCTTCGTTCACATCCTCGGATGCGCTTCTCTGCCGGCTACTCATCCAGTTTGTTTTCTTTGGAGCGACAATTTCTGGTGCCACAACGACGGCACTTGTATTTCTGTATCAATTCAGAAAGACGTGGTTCCGCTCTTCTACCAGCAGCGCTTACTTCTATTTCACATTGCTTCTCCCGGTTTTGGCCTTATCTACGATCGCCAGCACTTTTTACTGCACCATCTATCTTCTGGTCTGGTTCGACGAGGCTTTTGCTTATTTTGGTCATTGGGGCTATCTCCCGCTGGGGTGGGTGTTAGTGGAGTGTGGTATGCAGTGGAAGTGGTTGATGTGGTTCTACAACTTTGATGAATGGTACCGTACGACGACGTACGAAAGCCCTGAGGAATCAGACGAACTCAAGAACAAAATGGTAAAAGTGGCTGCCGCAGCATGGTGGCTACCAAAGTGGCGGTTTGCGGCAATCAAATTTCTGGCTGCGGCATGGTTTGCTACAGTACTCGGGGTCACTTGGAAGACTGGCGATGTACAATGCTTGGCCAGGGAATTTGGCAGGTTTGTCTCAGACATTTGGCGCGAGGGCTTAGGCCTTGGTAGAGACAAGGTCAGGATCCAAAACCATGTAGAGTTGTGATGTGGCTGAAAGGGATCAACTCAGGTATCATTTGATTGTCCCTACTTTCTTGACTCCAACCACTAGCAAGAATTACTCGCATCAATAATCGTTGGACTTTTTTTGAGGCTCATTGAAAATGGAGCTTGGTGCGTTATTTCCTGGGGATATTTTGGTATCACAGACAACTGCCCGGTCGGTGCGCATGAGGTGCGACACTTCATGCCATCAGATGGCTTCGAGTTGACGTGAAGGGGCGCATTGATCAGCCATCACATTGCTCTAGACGGTCAAATCGCAGAGTTGTGCCGATACCAAGTGCCTGTCCGCATGGGGAACGGGTCTTCAAGTGGTCAGACTCTGAATACCGTTGTTCCATTGGTCAGCCTTAAATAGATCGACGACTTGAATCTTCTCGAGGGGATGCCGATAGCCGCGAGCAGCTGGGGGCACGCCACTGCCCGAACCCCGTTTGTTGCCTAAGATATTCTGTTGGCTGTTAGCTGCAGGGGAGGGGTGCGCTCCGCATCACATCGTTTAGACACAAGTCTCGGGATCATCAGATACATATTATCGTCAGTATTGGGTGATACAAGCATGGCATGTTCATGTTTCAGTGTAAATGGCCGTCAAAAATGGCTACTGGCCTCGCGCAGAGTAATGGTTGTTCCGAACGAGGCCCGGGCTAGATCTCGAGATTGCCCACTGCTTGTTATTGCTCCGTGCGCCGTTGCTGCGACGTTTGTTTTTCGTTATTGAGCTGAATGTCCTCCATGCACATTGAGGCTTTCTATTCTCACTTCCGACCAATTGTGGCCGGCGCGAACGCGACTTTTTCCCTCTCTCGATATTCAATCATTCTTAGTTAGTGTTGCTCTGAACTGACAGCCTGACGGCTGGATACTTTCTTCTACCCCCAACGTTCTAGCATCACTCTGGCCCCATCTCGCCTCGGCGACACTCCTGTAATATCTTTTACGGTCCAGTATGCACCGTGGTCTAAGGTTCTGCTCTGGATTAGACTAGATTCTGAACTGCAAATGGCTTCCGCTGATTTCTTTGGACTCGGTCCAATGGTGGCCAGTTTGGATTCTGTGATACGACGTTTATGGGTACTGAAACGCATCGTGAGTAAGGGAGAACCTACCATAGATCTGAACATTCCACTTGCGCCATGGAGGAAGGGCACCATCACATGTGCTCTTGCTCTTGCAGGCTTCATGGTAAGTCCTTTCCACCGTTGTCTACCTTCACATAGAGCATACTAATGGCATCATCAGGTTGGCATAGATCAATCGATTATCGGTAAGTCAAAATATCACAGCCTCTGCTTCCGTACGTTGTCCCTAAATTCTTTTCCTACAGAACCTGCTCTGCCTACCATCATTGCTCAATTCTCTTCTCTGCACGATATCGGTGCCTATACGTCGGCATACCTTATCCCACAATGCGTGCTGCAACCTCTGTGCAACAGGCTTTACTCAACATGTTCTTTTAGTTCGGTATACCTCGGCTCAACACTCATGTTCATCCGTACAACCCCTATAACCCCATGATGCCCGGCTTGGCTCACTAACTCTTCTCTCCAGTCGGCTCAATCGTTTGCGCTCTCTCACAAAGTTCGCCATGCTTTATATGTGGCCGAGCCTTATCAGGTGTTGGCGCTGTAGGTTTGAGCATTGGAGGTTTTCGCATGCTGGCTCTGATGCCTGGGGAGCAAAGACAGAATGTGTCAATGGGCGCCTTCTCTTTAATCCTGGGCTCAAGCGTCGTGATAGGCCCTATCATCGGCGGCGTCATCACTCAATCTCATCTTGGCTGGCACTGGCTCTTTTGGATCAACCTTCCTGCGATAGGGATCGTCTTTCTCCTGATAATTGGAACAGCCTATACAGGAGGCCCCGACCTCAGGGGCGAAAAGTATGACCTGAAATTTTGGGAAAAGACGAAACTGCTCGACTGGATTGGAACGGCGCTTTTCGCCTTGACTCTCATACCTCTGATACTAGGCCTCGAATATGGACGATCATACGCGTGGAGTAGTACTCAAAGTGCAGTAATGTTCGCCTTGTCTGGACTGTCATTTGCGCTGTTGCTTGTACAACAGAGGATAACAAATGAGGCAATCTTTGAACGCACAGTTCTCTTTAACAGAAGCGTGTGGACCACCACGGGCATCTTCTTATGCGCGCTGTCATCGGTATCGGTTGTCACGCTGTTCACTCCCTTTCTATTACAGGTACGCCCCTCATTTTTCACTATAGTCTTACCTTCTCTGCGTACTTCGTGATATGAGTTCACGGTTGACCATTCTCAGGTCGTCAAAGAACTCGACCCACGCTCCAGTGGCTTCCTGTCTTTCCCTCTCGCTGGAACCCTCGCCGTCAGCACCTTCATCTTCTCAGTTGTGTCTACGAAAATCTCATATTTCAATCCCCTAGCTATTGCTGGCGCCGTCATATTTCTCGTCTCTAATGTTCTTTTCATGACTCTCAATTCTAAACTTTCAATTGTCCAAATCGTAAGCTATGAGATACTAGGTGGCTTCGGACTTGGTATGGCGTGGCTGGCTGAAATAATATTCCCGAGAGCAGTGCTCGACAAGCACCAGTTGGCTATATCCCTGGGATACTCCCGCATGTTGCAGCAGATTGGAGCGTGCGTATAGCATCACCTACTCTTCCATACCGATCGCCAACTGAGTTTTTCAGTGCTGTGACTGTTCAAATATCTGCGGTCGCTTTTACCAGCACGTTGACACATAACCTAGCTGGTTTGCCGTTGACGCCTGATGAACTGTCATCCCTGCAGACAGGGAGGACACTCAGCGGCAATTTTTCGGCGAAGACGAAAGATGCTATCCTGGAGGCGTATGGCAAGTCGATACGTATAGGTCTAGCCCCTGCGGTCGCATGCGCAGGGCTAGCTCTTCTATTCACATTGGCTTTACCTTGGCCAGCTCTAAATCGAGGCACGACAGACAGCAAGGGCAGGAATAACAGCGACAGCGGTAGTGAGGCTCTCATGCTGTCGGTTCTTGGCCCTCCTACAGAACCCAGTTGCGTTAGAGGCAAATACTTATTCGTCCGTCGACCGGCGAGAATTCAGCCGGCCAGCCGAGGCAGCTTCAATTCCCGGTAGTTTAAGGATTTATACGGCCAAAATTAGAATTCAACTGTCATGGCTTGATGCTTTCGTGTGTTCCCAATGAACTTATACGCAGAGTAAGTGAAGTGATAGTACTTTGTGAGAATCTAGGTTTTCATATGGACAAAAGGGGAAGATAGTCCTTGCCGCGTAAAACAAATCCTAATGGGCTATTCAAGGCCGCAGATTACTCCAATATGTTTGCTGTGAATGAGTATGCATAGGCGTCAAACAGGATAATCATGATTCGCTTCCAAGAACGAAAACCGAATGCGCATTTTGCAATCGCCGCCTTCTCCTGTTGAGCTACAGGGTGATCAAAGTTCCGTCCGCCTCTGCGGACCACTCAAATCATGTATAAGAGGGTCCCGACATTTATATCTAGATTCCACCAAGTGTTCCACCCCTTATTACAATAAGGTACACACACACACCACACTCACTCACTTTAGCATTCCCAGCATAACAATGCATGTTCCTTCTCGACCAATTCTCATTTTTCCACCGAGGTGACTCGGCGATTTTGGAGTAGCACTGCAGGGTCCAATATCAGAAACACAACAGCAGCGATCACCATAAGAATCGCATCAAGTCCAATAAAGGATCCCTCGTGAGTGATCAGGAATCCAGTCCAACCCTCAGCCAATTCAACGGTACGGTAGATGGATCGGATGTATATCATCAAGAATGCCACAAAGAGAGCTATCAGGGCAAGGTTTGTTGACCTCATCATCACCAATCTTCTGGCGCGACGGATAAAGTCAAAAACTAGCAGCGCAAAAATACTCATGGTGAAGAGTTGGAACGCGATCCCAGCGACCATAATGTGCGTCCCAGTTGTTGTGTCTCCATTGAGCTCGACGGTGGCCTTGGCTGCTAAGGCACCACCTACAGCTTGCACGACCAGAGAAATTACATCGCAAGTGCAAAAGATGATTGCGTAGGAGCCGGGTAACAGACTGCTTGTTTGTGGCCCCAGTTCCTTGATTAGGGTGCCGAGAAGTACATAGAGTCCGGCCGCGAAAAAGGTTGGTGCTATGATGAGAGTCGTGATCTGCATCAAGAAGGCGTCGTGATTGTAAGGGCACTTTGCGTTCCATGTTCGGCCGGCCCATCCTATCGCTTCCGCTAGAAGAAGAGATTACACAGTCAGTTGCCGGACCTCGGCGAACAAGGCCAATACAGAATGGGTGAGGTACTGAGAGCGCCAATGGCGAACAGAATGGACGTCCAGCGCCTAAAGCGAATCGTTTGAATGACATGACCGACTAAAGTCAATCCAAAGAGTGCATCGAAGGCGATGCCGGCACCGAGGCTTGGCCGGTATCCGTAATCGTTTCTGAGTTCAGGGAGTAAAGTCGGAAAACAACCAGTGCGGATGTGGAGGATTGAGTTCCAAGTCGCCGGGTCGATGCCGACGGGCGCAGGAGGTGGGGAGCTCATGTTGAGGTTTTGCCTCAAGGAGTTATTGAGAACGATCTTGTAGTGTTGCAGTGTCAACAGAGAACAAGAAATAGTGGGATGATAAGCTGAGAAAGTGAGAGGCCAGTAGAGAATCACAGTCCTTGCGAGAGCAGGCTTATTTTGATCCGGGTCAAGGGACGGTGGAGGCGGAGGTCCTTAGCAAGAGAACGATAACTCCGTGACCTCTAGATAAGACAAAAGATTTCACTTAGCTGGTTAACCGTACGGAATTACTAACGACATTTCGGTGTTGCCAGGATAAGAACTAACCTCAATCAGGTTCAAAGGAATGAAACAGCTTGGGTACACGTCAAGCAAGGTGCGTGCGTGCGCTTTGATGGACACTTTCTTGATCCTCGTCTTACCGTTCACTATTGCCAAGGCTACCACATCCGCAGTGGGACAATTGTGGTAGTATGCATCTATGAGGTTGGTGCGCTCCACAGCCCTGTCAAGCTAGAACAGGCAGAGGAGGGGTGCGATGAAATGGAGTAAGGGGGTGAAAGAGTCGCATCATCTCCCACGTGGGGCAAGGAGTAACGGGGTGTCTCTCAAGAAGAACATGTCCAGAGCTTAATGAAGCAGAACAAATATCGACAGGCGTACTTCCTATGCCCGCTCTAGTAAATTGTTTCTCGGTGAGCCCGCCCCGACTTACCGACATGAAAGGATAGAGCATGATGTATATTCATATCTTGACTCTCTTAATATTCGCCTATTGGATCATCAAGAGGGCCGCCGCTTCAACTAAAGAACGACGATTTGCTCGCCAGACCGCATGTCAGCCTTGCCCGCGCCTACCGCAAGGAGAAAGGATCATTGGTTACTCTCTGTTTAGGCAAGATGCTGCCATTGCTCGCCAGGGAAGATCTTTGCAAGCGGCGCAAGATCGTTTCCGTTTATTTGGCGACACATTCTCTGGAGTCATCCTGGGCCAATTCTTCATCAGCACAATCGACTCGGAGAATGCCAAGGCTTTACTGTCGAGCCAATTCGGCGGTTTCGACAGTGGCAAGAAGAGCCTCTTTGGACCATTCTTGGGAGATAGCATACTGACCACAGATGGAGCTCCGTGGAAGCATTCAAGGGTGCGCAACAATCCGCTCCGCCTTTCTATACAAGAATGATCGCGGCTGACCAGCTTCTTTCACAGTCACTGGTCCGCCCACACATTGGCAGAAGACAGGTGGAGGACTTCAGCAAGCTGGAAAGTTGTGTGCAAAACTTTTTCGCCTGCCTACCCGATGACGGATCTACCGTGGATCTTCAACACCTGTTCTTCCGACTCACATTCGACAACGTAGTCCAGCTCCTTCTCAATGAAAACGTGTCTACACTGAACTGCCAGCCAGGAACCCATCTTCACAGGGTCATTGAAGCTTTCGACAGCGTGGGGGACTTGATTAACCGGCGTGCCACGCTTGGTCCCTTGTTGCGCTTCTACCGCGACAATGCGATGAGCGGAGCGTGTGAGATATTGCACGACTTCGTTGACCAAATCATCGAAAAGGCCTATAGGAAGCGAAAAGCAGCCAAAGGCAGCAATCCGCCTGACTCATTCTTGGATAGCATTCTCGACAGTACAGATGACCTAGTGAAGATTAGGTATGAAGTATTGGGCTTGCTCCTCGCCGGACGGGACACGGCAGCCGTTACGATGAGCACTTTGTTCTTCATCCTAGCACGGCGGCCTGATATATGGAAGAAGCTTCAGAGAGAAGTAGATTGCCTTGGTGGGAGGAAGCCGACTTATAATGACATCAAGGGCTTGAAATATCTTCGACAACTGATTGACGAGAGTGAGTAAGCCTGCCACAACAATATTTTGTTTGTCGTCCTACTGATGACTGTGACTGCGCATTGGACAGCCCTTCGGCTATATCCCCCGGTACCTGTACTCTTTCGCGCCGCGAACCTGACCACCATCCTCCCACGTGGCGGGGGTGTGGACAGAAAATCGCCAGTCCTTGTTCCCAAAGGGACTGTGATCAGTTGTTCCACCTTTGGCCTCCACCGCCGGCAAGACGTATATGGTCGCGATGCAGAGGACTTTCGCCCGGAGAGATGGGAGAGCTTGAATGCCCATTGGAACTTTTTGCCGTTCAGCGCGGGCCCAAAAATGTGCCTCGGCCAAACATATGCATATGCCAAAATGGCCTATATTGTGAGCCGAATTGCGCAGCAGTTTGAGAGGGTCGAGAAGCGGAGCAATGAGCCCTGGGCGGAAAAATGGTCAATTACCTTGATGAACGCATCCGGGACAAAGGTCGGGATGATCCCGAAGTCAGCCAAAGTATAGGAAGCGATTAAGAAGGAGAATGAAGAGAATATGAAAAGATTTGGTCAAATACACCTGACGTACAGCTAGCAATCTATCCACGGTTCCGTTACATTCGAGTCGTTTTCCGTTCACACTATGAAGGTTACGTTGATGTCAGAAGGCTGCCCATCAGAGTAGTGACACTTTGACCTTCAATCCCTGAGGCTTGAGACTCGTTCCTTTTTGAATCACAGGATGCCAGCCAGGAATGGCCTCTTCAAATTTGAGCTTTGAAACCAAAACTGTCAAGAAGACTTTGAGGCTCAGCGTGGCAAAGTCTTTACCGATGCAGACGCGTGGCCCGCTTGAAAAAGTCAGAAATGCCTGAGAAGTCTTGGCTCCACCACTGTATGAGTCCTCCCACCGCTCGACTTTGAACTCGTCTGCATCATCTCCCCATAGTTCCTGTGACCGATTGACAGCATATGGACTGACCATAATCTGCTTGCCCTTGGGTATCAGGAGATCACCGACCCTGGTGTCGTGGGCTGCTTCACGCATCATGGCAGGGAACGCTGGGTAAAGTCTAAGGACCTCCATCAGAAAGCATCGCAGGTATTTCATGGAGCTGATGTTCTCCAGAGTCAACCCCTCTGGATTGGCGCTCCTGGTGGCAGCGAAGACTTCCGCGCGGAGCTTGTCCTGGACATCTGGGTGCTGTGCAAGTTTAAAAATCGCCCATGCCAACGTTATCGCTGTAGACTCGTGCCCGGCGGCCAAGACCGTCAGGATGTGACTGAGGATCTCACTTTCATCTTCCAGTCCGGCTGCAATGATGGCTGAAAGAATATCTGCAGCCAATGGTGAGTTCGGAGCCGGGGCGTTGATGAGGTTGTCTGGAGATATTGCCTACCTTTTTCTCGTATCTCGTCGCTGCCATCTTCAGCCTCCTCAATCTGCTGTCTTTTCTGCCGAATTTGAGTCAAGCAGAAATCTTGTAGGGCAGTCATACCCTGATGGAATTCCCGGATGGGCTTGAACGGCAGCTTGAAGAGCAGATGAGGCGAGATTATGGCGGGGAGAGTCGCCCCAAAGAATTTTTCCACCGCACTTTGATTCTCAAAGGATGGAAAGACACGCTGATATGCTTGCAAGATGGGCTGATCGGGACGCGTCACAGAGTCAAAGTCGACGCCGAGAGTTGTTACGCCAATGACATCGAGCGTAGCGGCCATAGTTAACGGATGCATGTTGAGCACAGCCGATTTTGAGCCAGTTTCGGCAACAAGCTCTTGTATTTTGGTGGCCAGGGTCAGAGCCTTTGTCCACATCTGTGGAACAAGGCGCCTATTGCGACTCATACCAAAAATAGGAGTTAGGAGTTTCTTTTGCTTCTGCACGTATACAACGTTAGCTGTGAGATTGAACGGGCATGCAGAGGCTTCAGAAGTTTCTACATACTTTATGAACAGATCCTTCGGCAGCTACAAGGCCAACTCCGAGGCTCTCGACAAGACCATCACGAACGGCAGCCGGTTTGTGGTACAGATACGGCTGACTCATGATGGTACTCACTGCTTGCGAGGACTTGGGAATCAGATAGTCGAATGGGCCCAGGAAGACACGGTAGAAGCCGCTGGCGGTGGGCGGCACCGTCAGTTGCCAACGCGCCAGCGGCATTCCCCATGGTTCACTGAGGAATGGAATCAGGTTTCCCAGTAAGAAGGGGGTATCCTAATGGAAGCCAGTGTCAGTTCAGTAAATAACTTGTGACAATAGGCATATTGGGATGTGCATACTTTGGGATGAGGAAGGTCCTTCGTCGGTGAAAGGAACCATCGGTAGACTAGGCTTGAGAAAGCCAGACATAGAGCCAGCTCAGTGATCAGAGTTCCGAGCAGACTCAGTAGAATTGCAACAGACGAAGCGCCAGATAGTTTAAGGTATGATGCAATGGCTGTTGCTCCGGCCAAGGCAAGCAATGACTGGACGCCCATCCTCGTCATGGGCTTGCACAGTATTCTGTATCACAAGAGTATAGATAGGTATGCGATTGCCACCAAACAAAGACTCGGAAGATGAAATGAGAGTAACAGACATGAAAGGACCACCACGGCAGTAGCTCCGGCTGATGTGCTTAAAACACTCTGACTTCATGTTGTCGACATTATGGTCTGTTCTTCCGTGAAGTCGAGCATCCGCCAGCTACTAGGTAGTACAATAGACTCCAGTACCTTATCGTGTGCTGACGGTGTATGCGTAGCGAAACTAGGTACCTTAATCATTAACCTCTTATGATATGCATAAGTAGGTGCCTAGGTACTACTACGTTAGGTACGTACTTGCCTGAGCAGAATATTTCCAACATGTAGCATTGCACTCGGCGCTCCTGTCTCTACTTGGACTGCTATAAAATCCCTCATCTCGAGCGTAAAACCTGAAACTTTCACACTCAGGCGGGACGTTCATCTTTGGTCACGATTTGGTCCGTGATGATTTCTGAATTATTGATTCTGACAATTGACTCTGGACTGATTTTGCAGGCTTCCAAGCACAGGCTTCAAAGCTAGTATTGCCAGAGCGGAGGCGGGTTGACTAGCGCCAACTCCCATGGAGTAGTACTTTAGGAGATGCACTGCCGTCCATCCAACATGATCAACGCCCCTGGTCCATGGGCAATCTGGGACGCGTACATACCTGCCCACTGGAGTAAACCATGATCTGATCCTCAATTGCATCGGCGATCTCGCGGAATACGCAACTAGCCAATCCGGGGATAGAAGAAACAGAGTCCGGGAAATTCTTCCATTGGAACCAAGGCCGAAAGATGGAACCTCGGCTTATTGACTGGACTCGTGGGAGAACGTTCACGATCTGGTGGGCCAAATAGCGCACAGTCGCAGATCAGCAACAGCCGCCGGCCAGTTCTTAACCAGGGCAGCATCTCTCCAGCTTGTAGTAGGAGGCTATGACGCATTACTAGCAACATGAAGAGCCCACAGAGCTATTTCCTGCAGTGGATGCCTGTTGCGTGGTGGGCGGTAGCTGCGAGGGCTTTTGATAGTGTACATATGTCAATGCAGCATCATACCTATTCTTCTTCTTCTGTGGTAAGAAAGACAATAGCATTTTTCCTCTGTCTGTCAGGAATAGCAGCTACCGCCAATGGAGTCTCATACAGCAATTTTACTCCCGGGATCTAACAATCTCACTGAAAGACCAGCCAAGCACACGTCCGTCTATCTTGGCCTCTCCTTACTCCTCGTTTGCGTTGTCTGGCGTTATCTTAAATTCCCTCGGCATGATCCTCGAGAGCCACCTATCGTCAAGCCTTCGATACCGCTCATCGGGCATTTTATCGGATTCTATAAGCATGGGGTCACCTACTTAGACCGTATGAGGTGAGAAGCCTCATAACGTACATTGAAACCGATTGGCGTACTGGAAACTTAATCCTACAAGGCATTGCACTTCATGGCCTGCGTACACCCTCAGTGTTATTGGTCACAAGACTTATATTGTCACATCACCGGGTCTTTCTCACGCCGCGCTCAAGTCCAAGTCATTGTCAATGGATCCTTTGATCGCGAACGTGAGTAGTATGATCCTGGGCCTGAGTGAAGAGTCCGGGCACTATTTTGGCCTCGACCACGCTGGACTTTACAAAGACACCGTGGCATTGAGAGAGCGCCGAGAGGAATTCAGTCGCTCACTAGCTCCGGGTCCAGGCGCAAATCTGCCAGCCCAGATTTGCTCGAATGTAGTGGCTGAAGCAGTTAATGCTTTTGGTAACGACTGGGTATCGAGAGATCTGTTTGTATGGGTTCGGGATGTCGTTACACTGGGCACTGCCAATGGCTTATATGGACCTAAAAGTCCAATGGCCGTTGACAATAGCCTCATTCAAGATATCTGGTGAGTTGATTCCGTGCCAGCCAGAGACCATCGCGGTGCTCACATGTACCCAAATAATAGGACATTCGATGAGAACCAATTACGGCTCAGTTGGGGCATTCTGCCTCGTCTCGTTGCACCCACCGGCGTCCGGACCGTCTCCAGAATCTCCCAGGGCTTTAGAAACTTCATCCGCAACGGAAATATCGAGTTTGCCAGCGAAGCCATCAAGTCGGGCATTGCAAAAGCTCTCGACATGAAAATGAGCATCGAGGATTGCTGTCGTATTGAAGTGTTCAAAATTTCTGTTGCTACGGTGAATACAGTGCCAACAACTGTTGCCATGATACAAAACATTCTCGCCGACCGAGCTCTGCTGCAGGTACTGCGCAAGCAACTTGCAGCCATCCTGACTGTGCACGAGAATCCCGCCGGCCGTAAGGCTGAGCTTGACATTGGACGTGTTGAGGCGGAATGCCCGTTGCTCCACGCTTGCTACCAAGAGGCTCTCCGAATCGGCTCCACGCCAACATGCAACCGCGTGGTTCTCGAAGACGTCGTGCTGACGGACCCAGATGCCGGCCGTGAGATTCTCTTCAAAAAGGGCTGGCGGGTCTGTATCCCGACATTCCTTCTGCACAACCGAGCCAGCTTTTGGGGCGGAGACGCTGAGACTTTCGGGCCAGAGAAATTTCTCCCTGGCGGTGTTGGTACAGACAATCACGGCAAAGTCAGGACCCAGGGATTTGTCCCATATGGCGGAGGCGCACATTTATGTCCCGGTCGCCATTTAGCCAAGAAGGAGATTCTCGCCTCATGCGCGTTAATCCTAAGCGAAGCTGCGAAGCAGCTAAGCGCAGGGATTACTAGAGAGTTGCTGCTTTTTAGCTTCGCTTAGTTATTTAATTAACAATTTCCTAAGCGCTAGGGAAGTTAAAAAAAAAGTTATATAGTAATTAGTTATTTTTACCTTATTAACTGCTTTTAAAGGTATTTAAGACTCCTAGTTATAGTATTTTTATAAGGTTAAAGTTAGTATTATAATATTATAATTATAAAGTCTTAAGATCCCTTAATATTTATATACTTTATTAATATTATAAATTATTAAATTATGCATATATAGTTTAAAGCATTATAATAATATTAGTACTAGATAAATTAGCGTTATTTAAGCATTTAAATAATATTAATCTTATCTTTTATAAATGCCTAGAATAAGAGGGAAGATGCCTTAAGTAAATATCTTAAATAATATTTTTAAAAGTTAATTAATAAGCATTACTAATTTTAGTTATATAACTATATAAGCCTAGTAATATATATAACCTATACTATATATTTATAACACTTAAGTAATAACCTATATATATTATATTTATAAATATATTTTTCTTTTAAATCTTACTTTAATTAAGACTTTTAACCTTTAGCCTTTTTAAGTATTTATTATAGTATTATTAATAGTATTATTAATAGTATTATTAATAGTATTATTAATAGCTCTTACTGCTGCTATAGCTTTTACTGCTATAATATCTTCTTTACTACTATTACTTAAAAATCCTAGTCTTATACTTCTTAAAGATACTCTTAACATTCCTATATATAAGTACACTTACTATTTATAGTTTAAGCATAATAATAAATTTATTAATTTAAGGAAGCCTAAAGGCCCTTTTATAAGTAAATGCCTAAACTACTGCTAATAGTAGAAAGCTAATAAAAGGCTATCTGCTAAATAATATATTTATTCTTTACTCCTCTCTCTTATAGCTATTACTAACCTTATTATAAATCTCTTAAGCTATAAGGTTATTCTTTAGCTTAAGTAAATAAGTTATTTCTAACATTTAGTTACTTAAGCAGGCCTAGTAGTATAAAGTTCTCCTTTTTTAATAGCTATAGCTTATTACCCTTTATATTACTAGTCTTACTAATCTTTTACTTTTTTATATACTTAGGTTATTTTTTTATATTAATAGCTTAGTATAGTTTTTTTATTAAGGTATAAACCCTAATAACACTTTTTAAAAATAAGATATATATTAAAAGCAGGCGTTAATTTAATATAAGCATTATATAGCTTAATGCATTAAAGAGGTTCTCTTTTTAACCTTAATAACCTTTTAATTAATAGCTATATCTTAACCTTCTTAATCTAATACTTAGGATAATAAGTATTATAACTTTTTCTTTTACTATTTATACTAGCTTCTTAAGCCCTTATTTACTTATAATCCTACTTATAATACTTATATTTATTATATTAATGCTTTTAAAAATATAAATACTAAGCACTAGATATATTTTTATTATAGTTAAATATATTTATAATTTTACTTTCTTATAATACTAGGTAATAAATAGTTTTTTTATTAAGTATATAGTAAGGTAAGCTAACCTAATTAACTTAATTAACCTAGCTAATATAGCTATTATTTAAAACTATCTCCTTTTAAGGGCAGGTATAATTTAAATATATCTTTTTTATAATAAACACTTTCTTCTTAACACTCTTAAGGCTATAAGATAATACCTATAGCTATTATTTAAAAGCTAGTTAAGCTAGACATTCCCTTTAAGAGTAACCTTAGCGCTATTACCTTAATACTATCTAACTAGCATCTTATTAGCACTTAGCAGGCATAATTAAATAAGTATTAAATAAAGCTTTACCCTTAATATTAAATTAGGTAGTTTAGCTAATACTTTATAAGCAGCATTTACTACTACTATTAAAAAAAGAATATAACTTACTGCTTTAATAAACTATACTTTTATTTTATTAAGAATAACTTTAATTTTAAAAATATACTAACTTATCTCCTAAAGCTATTTTAGGTTAAGAAGATGCTTATTATATATATTTATATCTATATATAGATATTTTAGTATTATAAGTAATAGTATAAATATTAAGAGTATATAATTAGTTTCTTATATAATACTAAAAGTATATATATATAACTGCTATTACTTCCTTTAAACCTTAATATAATTATCTTATAGTTTATAAATAAAATAAACTAAGTATATATAATATAGTAATTTAAAAAGCAGTTCTATATACACTAGTATTATATTTAATAATAGCTAATATTCTTAAAAAAGCACTATCTTAGCTATAAAGATATTTTAATTAATAAAAAGCAGCTTAGCTAGCTTTTAGTAAATAAGGATATTTTTTAAGATATCTTAAACTATTACTAAGCTAAAGTTAATATTAAAAAAGTAATAGCTAATAAGGATCTGCCTAATAGTAATAATTTTAATACTACTACTATGCTTAACCTTATTATAGCCTAAGCTAACCTTAATTAGCTTTATATAAAGCTAAAGGGTTAGGCCTAAGCACCTCTTAAGTAAATCCCTTTTTAACTATCTTAATATATACCTCTGCAGTTATTATAATAGCAGCAGCCTTATTTATAAATGCCTAACATTTAGTTAACCCTTTTAAGTAAGTTTAATAAATTACAGCCTTTATTATCTTTTATATTTCTAACTTTTTTTTTAAAAAGTTAAGCTAACTTTATCTAGCCTTATATATACCTTATTACTTACTAGTAGTACTTTACTTTTATTATAAAATAGTATAATAGCTATTTTACTTAGTATTTATAGTTCTATTATATTAAGTTTAATATATATATATATTCCTTTATAAATATTTATAGCTTTTTTTTTATTAAAAGGCCTAGCTAAGTAGCTTAGCATATGCTTATAGTAAATAATATTTAAGCAGTATTTAATAATAATACTCTTAATGCCTAGGCCTTGCTAAACTTTATTATTTACTACTTAAGCAGCCTTTAAAGCACCTGCCCTTACTAAAGTAGTAAAAAGCAGGCCTTAAAGGTAATAGTATATGCCCTAGGCTATTCTAGCACCTTTTTAATATTTTCTATAGTAAATAACTACTAAAAGAGTCTTTAACACTATATGCCTTATTATTAAGCATAGTAAATAGCCTTTAATTAAAATAAAATTAGGATTTTAATATAAAACCTTAAAGATAACCTTTATATTATAGCTTATTATTTTAACTTCTAGTTTAAGACTTTCTTATAAACTATTATTCTCCTTAAGCTATAAATATTAAAATATTAGTATTACTATAAGTAATAGGCTTATAGTAGTATTTATATTTATAAGCTATATTAAATTAAAAACAGCCTAAAGGTTAATCTCTTTAGTATAGCTAATTATTAAGTATTTACTAATTATTAAGGGCTATTTATAAGCGCTTTTAATCCTTAACTTAAGCGCGCTAATTTATATAAAAAGGGTAACCCTTTAGCTTATAAGTAATAAAAGCTAATATTCTAGCTCCTTTTAAATATTATTAATATTATATAAGTCTATAAATACTTTAAGGTATATTACCTTTACTACTGCTAGCTCTTTAATAGCAGGCTTATAAATAGTAAAGTCTGCTAGTTTTATTTCTTTTATACTTTTTATAAAAGCCTTATTTTAATATATAATTTTAATCTTATTTACTTTATATTTAATAGTATATATAATAATATAAGGTTAAATAATTATAATTACCTTTTTATTATTATATAGCTTACTAACTATAATATCTCTCTTATTATAAGTTCTTATACTATTCTCTTTTATATTATAAAGTATATTAATAAGGCTAAGGTTTATAATATATTATATAAAGATATTACTAAGGCTATTCTTTTTATAATTAGCAGTAACTAGCCTTTAATTAGCTTTATAATAAAGTTTATAAATAAGTTAATAGCTAAAAGAGATTAATTAAGCTAAGAGGTTTATTATCTTTTATTAAACTTACTATTATAAAAAAGTATATATATTATAATTACTATTAACTACTAACCTATTAAAGTATAACTCTAGATTAAGATTATTATTAAAAAAGGTATTTACTTTATATAGTTAATATATAATAAATATCTTACTTAATAATTAAAGTATAAAGATATAAGCTATTTTATATAGCTTACTATAATAAACTAGTCTAAGCTTAAATACTTTAAAAAGGTAAAAGTATATATTCTTAATTATTTCTTAAAATACTGCCTAGATTAAGAACTAAATAAGCTTAAGCAGTATTACTATATATAGCTTATATTATACTATACTTATTAAGATCTTATAAGCCTTATAACTATAAAAAGCATTTAGTTTAATAGCTTTTAAAAGGCCTTTTAATACTATATTAAAATACACTCTAGCATATACCTTAATAACTACTATTCTAACCTCTTACTACTGCCTCTTAAAGAGTTTAAAAAAGAAAAGTAAAATAAAAAAGCAGTTATTAATAATAAATAGCAGCAGCTAGTAATATAGCTGCTAAATCTTAAGCTTAAAATAAAAAATATAAAAATATTTAAAAATTGCCTTATTAACCTTTTTTATAATTAGTAACTTTATATTAAGTATTATCTAGACCTTTTATAGCTTAAGAATTACTATTAAAAGCAGCTAAAAAGTAATAACCTTTTACTATAAAAGATATTATAATAAATATAAAGATATAGCAGTTAAACCTTAAGTAGCGCTTAGTCTTTAATTTATTTATTAACTATCTTAATAATTAACTTAACCCTTTAAAGCTAAACCCCTCTCTTCTTTATATATAGATTAATAGCCTAAGCAGTACTAGTAAGTCTTTCTTTATTAAGGCTATTTTTATAAAGCTATAGTAAATAGTGCTTTTTAATTAGCAGGTTATAGCTAAAGCTATACTAACTAGTATAGCTATAAATATAATTAATAGCATTATACTTTATTTCTTACTATAGTTACTTATTTTTAAAATATTAAGTAATTTACTATCTCTTTCTGCTATTAATATCTTTAATATTTATAATAAATTATACTATATTTAATATCTTATTATTAATAAAAAGTCTATAATAGGCTTATATATAATAAAATATATTAATTATTAACTATAAGAGATTTTCCTAGTATATTAAAATAAGTATTTTAATAGTTAAAGCATCCTTCTTTTAAGTAACTTTTATTAACTGCCTTTAGTTATAAAATGCTCTCTCTTTACTGCAGAGCCTTAAAGCAAGATTAATTTATTAAGGCATAATATATATAGGTTAATTAGTATTATAGTTAAGTTATAGCAGGTTATTTACTAAGTAAGGGATAATTAAGCTTTATTCTGCCTTACCCTTTAATGCCTATATTAGAATATTCCTATAATTAAAGATTAGCATTTACTATATATATAAACTTAAGCTCTACTGCTATTAAATAAGGTTTAGTAATTTAACTTAGCTATTTAAATCTATCTTACTAATACTTAAGTTTAAAAGTATAACCTTAATTATATAAAAAGGCTAAGTAAGCTATATATTTATATTATAGCTTTTAACACTAGCTTTAAAGTATAAAAAGCTAATTCTTTATTTATTAAAAACCTTAACTAGCGCTTATATCTCTATATTAGTATATATATAATATTAATAAAGAATATCTAAATATTTATAAGCCTAGTTAATAATATAATTAGCTAAGTTTATAATATCTTATAAGCATAAGATATTAAAGATCCCTATACCTAGCACTTAGCTATTATACTTATAGAATTTAATTATTATAATAATCCTCCTTATCTTAAAAAAGCATAGTTATAAAAAGTAATGCCTATTTTTTAATTTACTTAAGACTTTATTAAGGAAAGCGCCTTATATAGCTAGATGTAATTTCCCTTAATAATAGCTTATACTATTACTATTTATAAATTATAAGGCTATATAATAAAATAGGCTATAATTAATATATTATAAAAGGATTTCTTTATAAGTTTAATATATATAATAGTCTTATATATTAAAATACTATAAGGCATTTTATTTAATACTTTTTTTAATTTACTTACTATTTATAGTAATACTAACTTAGCTAAAGATCCTTACTACTTTAATTATTAATAACATTTACCCTAGATAATACTAGCGCTAACTGCTATTTCCTTTACTTAAATTATCTTTATTATTATTCCTTTCTTTCTCTTTTTTTTTTTATTACCTTTATAGCTTTATTATATATAATTAATATTTAAATAGTAATAGCCTTGCCCTTTAATACTAATTATATATATTACCTTATATATGCCTTTTATATAAATAAATTCTAAAATTCTATTCCTTTTTTAAATTAAAATATAATTAAAGACTAATAATTATAAAAATAATAATAACACTTTCTCTCTTTAGCACTAGTGCCTATTTATAAAAAATATACTTAGCTATAGTCTTTTAAGCCTTATAGGCCTGCTTATAGCTTACCTTATTATTATTACCTTTATTATTATTATTTAACTTAAGCACTAGATCCTTATTATTAAGTATATTAATTATAAGATAAATAGCTATATAGTATTACTTTATTACCTAGCATATTATTAATATAAAGTATAAAAAGTAGGAAATTTATAAATAAACCTTCTTATCTTCCTTATTAATAGCATAATTAAGTCTTTAAATAAAGGGCATAAGCTAATAATAGCTATAGTATATATTTAATAATAAAAACAGTCTAAAAGAAAGAAAGAAATATACTAGGGTTTATACTTATAGCTGCCTTTATTATAAAGCTTATAGTGCTAAGAGCTTCCCTTTAAATCTATATATTAATTAAAAGAAGTTGCCTTTTTACTAATAATAAGGCTTTTAATATAATTCTTATATAGTAAATCTTATAAGATTACTACTGCTATTACTACTACTACTGCTACTTATAATAAGCTAGCGCTATTATTATTAACCTAAGACTATATTATTTATTTCTTTAGCTTTTACTAAAAGTAATATAAAGTTAGCGCTTAAAAACATAAAGGATAAAAGGAGATATACTACTTTAAAAGAAGTAGCCTTAAATATAATAATAGCTTTACCCTTGCCCTTAAGGTTAGCTTTATGCTTGCCTTTTAGGTTAGCTTTTTTAAAAGGCATAGTAAAGATCTTAAGCAGGTTAATAAGGAGGGTAGTAATAAAGATAAAGGTAATAAGCATAATAATAAAAAAAGAAAAAAAGAGAAAAGAGCAAGAATAATAACTTAATATATATATTCTATTTATAATATATAAGGCTATTTAATATTTAATACTATTATAAACGCCTCTTTATTTAATTTATATTTTACTACCTATATTATAAAAAAGCCTTTAAAATAATAGCATAAATATAAAGCATAAAGCTATATATTAAAAGGCATTAAATATTAAGCATTTTATTATTTAATTAAAGCAGTAATATTATAATAACCTCTTTTAAGCATTATATATATAAGCTTTATAGTCTCCTAAGCCTTATATATATATATAAGCATTATAATCTCCTCCTCTAAGCCTTATATATATAAGCGCTATAATACTTTTTTTTAAGCCTTATATATATAAGTGTTATAATATCCTTTAAGCCTTATATATATAAGTATTATAACCTATCCTTTATAGGCAATAATATCTCTTCTCCTTATAATATTAGCTAGATATTAGTATTATAGTTAGTATAATAATTTAAAAAAGGTAATAGCCTTTAGCTATTATATTAATTATATATACACTTGCCTTTTATATATAAGATATTTAATAAAATAGCTAGAGTAATAACACTGCTTTATAATAAAGCGCTTAACTTTTATAAAAGCAGTTAAAAAAAAGGCTTTAAGCCTTCTTACTTATATAAAAGCTAAGCATTATAAAATAAGTAACTAAGTCTTTAAATCTAGCCTATAATATATTAAAGCTAGTATATAAAGAGTTTTTACCTTTTTACTATTCTAGCTGTCTTTCCTTATAATAAAATAACCTTTATAAGCAGTAGATTATGCCTACTAACTAGGCTTAAGTATAGCTATAATAGCGCTTAGTAAAAGTAATTAAAGGTATAAGGGCATTACCTCTCTTACTATACTTATAAATATAATCTATAGCTTTAAAAAGGCCCTTTATATTATAAAGCAGCTAGAAGGTTAAGCATTTAAATCTTATATAAGGCTTTTTTTTATAACTTTTTTTTCTATATATGCTATTAAGGCTATTAATAATAAGGCTCTTAATAGTAATAATAATTATAAAAAGGGCAGGCAGGGCGTAATATTAATTATCTGCATTTAATAAGGCGCTAAAGCTGCGCTTGCGCTTTCTATACAGTAGCTTTGCTTAGGCCCTTATAAATGCCTTTAGCAGGCATTAGACTTGTAATTATGGCTCTGGATTTTAACGCGGAGAATAGGTTTGCCGCGCAGAACTATGCATCTAGTACAGGAGCAAAGAAGCCGATTAGATTAGAAAATGTATAGATAAGGCAGCGTGATAGATAGGAGGATGTAAAATAGAGTGTGAAGATATAACCTAGGCTTCCTATTTCTATAGGCATACGAATTATAATTAAAAGGGCAAAGGGGCCCTTATTTTTAGTAAATTGTCTAGTCACTGCTATACTATTATTAGAATTATAAGGTAGTAATAAAATAAATAATATTATTATAGCTAATAAAGAACTATTTTTAATTTACTATATAAAAGACTCTTAATAAATTATATTAAATCTAAGTATAGCTAATATTCTCTAAAATATTATAAAGTATAATTATATTTATAAATATAAGCAGAGGGACTAGTTATTAGCTTATTATAGCTATCTAGGGTAATAGAATATATATTTATAAATATTCTTTAAATATATTATTTTAAGTAGTTAATTTACTAAGTAGGCTAGTAGTTTTTAAACTACTTAGTATAATATAGTAATTTCTCTTAAATATAAGATATATAAGAAGCTAGAAAATTAAGAAAATATTAAGTAAAAAGATAAAAGTTAAAAGAGGATAAAAACACACAGGGAGAAAAAAAAACAACGAATTAGACGGCACTGGAACTGCTGCTCCCGGCAGGGCTTGAACCTGCGACCTTCGCATTACTAACGCTTAGCGCAGGACTAAAGTATTAGTACGAAGCTCTAACCAACTGAGCTACGGAAGCCCTCTATTCGTTATGCAAACTCTTGACTATGCCTTACAAGAATCTTCTAGGGGCGCCGTCTCTACGGCGGACAACGGTGCTGCTCTTCGACTTCAAATCGATGGAATTTTGAGCTGATATAACGCTGCCGCGGCAAGCACGGCATCTAAATTCGGAGGACGTTCCGTCCCCTGCTTCAGGGCTCTTGCACTCATAAGGCCGCAATCCATTCCACTCCAAGCCGATGCTACCTAGTTATGATTCGATGGAAACTCCAGCGCAAATTAGTTTCGCAGCTGATTCGTACATGTGCATATATGCAGTACATATGGCAATGAGCTATTGGACTGTTTAGGCATCCCCACCGAACTCAGCTAGCCACTGGCAACTGTCTTCAGCTAAGTATATGAGCTGTGAGTGTAGCAGCTAGTACGCAAGTAGCGAAAGACTCGGCAGTTGCAGCTTCATGTAGCCTCTATATGCGCGTCCACATGCAATGCTCCTCTGTATGCACTCTTAATGTGAGGATGAGGGCATTACAATGAACCTGTCATATTAGGCTGCCATAAACGCCGCATTCAGCCTACGCTGAGCGCTGCCTACAGCACTGGTGGTGGCATATCAGGCTCACGGAGTCTGAACCAAACCAAAGGCACGACTGCATGAGGAGAGGGTCGGATGCCTGTGTAACATAGCATTTTGACTTCCGTTTGAGCCTCTATGATCTGATTCGACGAAGGCCTTTGCATGCATATCCATACGTGACGACGTGTGTGGATGAGACCCATATAGCAATTCCCCATTGGTCTCTACTGCAAGTATGAGCATACATGAGAAAGAGGAGTCAAGATTTCAGTTCCATCAGTGAGAATTGCAAACGAGTAATCTTTTTGACATTTACCTAGATTGTCTTGAAAATCCCAAATCGTTCAATCTTATAAAGACTACAGGGCCAACCCCTAGCTCCCTTCTTCTTTACACAGCAACACTTCCCTTTCTCCTCGCGTAACTTTCGTTGAGAACTGTCGACCATCAGACAGGACCTATTGCCCACTGATATGAGTGGAAGTTATCCTCGGTGGACGTCAGACTTGATTCTGGCACCGCCAGCTAATGGCGATCATGCGGAACAACGCAAGCTCGATCCCAGCCATGTCCCCCCATCTGAAATCGACCCATTGATCGTGGACAGCTTGCTCACGGAGCATGCGACGCAAATAGCTCATTATAGGCAGAGGTTAGCCAGAAATGAACTCAAAGGTCATCGCAACTTGACAGCACTGCGCCCGAAGTTCAATTTTTACAAGGACGATGCAAACGATGAAGCTACGTACCAACAGGTCCAAGCAACCTTTGCGCAGTTATACGATAGGGTTGAGAAGACGTGAGTATCGATTATATATGCATCTCGAAAGTCAAGCCGGGTAACTAACTTTGGACTGATCAGCGCTGATTTGCACCTGTGCAATTCCGGGGTAGAGCAAATTTGGCCTCGCCCGCTCAGCCTCAGGGAGAAAAACAGCTCTTACCAGTGGAAGATATACTACAATGAACCGACAGACGAAATTCCATGGTATCCGCCTCACTTGGAGCTTATCCCTTGGAAGGATAGAAATTGGCTGACGTCAATCTTCAACTTCTTTGGTCTGGCTGAAACCAGCTTGATTTTGTCAAGCTCCTCCACCTCAGGGATCACGGCGATACTCCGTAGCTTCTTGTTGCGCTTGTCCAGCTGGGTCGCCCAGGGTCCGTTGGGCATGGAAGTGCCCAACATTTTGGACTTTATCCCGGCGAGCTGGGCTGAGGATGCGATCACTTGGGTTTTGCGTTATATCAATGGGAGCGTTCATGATGCGGCCATGCAAGAGCCAAATATGGAAGCCTTCGAAACTTACAACAGGGAACACCGCAAAACGGGCACCGACATTGCTCAAGGAGAGAATCTTGGACTACTCAAAGACTGGTACAGCGATCGTCGATTCGCCGAACAGTCCTTCACTGGTGCCAACCCAACCACTATCAAAAGGATCACTCCCAACCTCTTGAATGAATTCAGGGCAGCGGCTCATGAGCAGAAACTGTCGACATGGGAAGAAAGATTGGCCCAGGATTCAGCATTCTTCGTGCAAGATTTTAGCCACCTGCGCCATGCCATCGACGTTGATGCCCGAAAGGAACTCCGATATGCTGGTGCTGCAAATCAATGCAACTGGGCTTGCGCGTCTGTTACTCTATTCCAGCTTCACGACGACGGAAGGCTTCACCCGATTGCAATTGTCATTGACTACAAGCAAAGCATGAAAGACTCGGTCACCATCTTCAACAAGAGCTACGATCCTCGAGAGCCAACCGCAACAGATGAGATAATCCCGGAGGAACGAGATGACTGGCCTTGGCGTTATGCCAAGACATGCGCCCAAGTGTCTGACTGGATGTTCCATGAGGTCGGCGTTCACCTGACTCGTGCGCACTTTATCGAGGAAGCAGTCATTGTGGCCACGCATCGCACCGTTCCCGAGAATCACATCGTATTCAAGCTTCTGAATCCGCACTGGTATAAGACGCTTTCTCTCAACGCAGGTGCGCGAGCAACACTCGTCCCCCGTGTCATCACTGAGCTGGTCGGTCTGGAACCTTCTGAGCTGTACAAATTGGTGCGCTATGAATACAACAACTTCGACTTCGTCAATAGCTATGTCCCCCGGGATTTGGCAAACCGAGGTTTCTCTGACATTGTTGACGGGCTCAGCGCGGATAGGTACAAGAACTATGCCTACGCCAAGAACGCATTGTCCATGTGGAGATGCATTCGAAGCTACGTCAAGGCGATGCTGCAGACCTCATATGGCCTGGATGAGAAATTGGCAGATGCCAGAGTTGAAGCGGATGACTCCATCAGAAACTGGTGCAAAGAAATTCAGCTTTATGCTGGGATTACCAGTTTCCCAAAGATACGGTCACTGAATGACCTCTGCGACGCAATCACCATGAGCATCCACATTGCTGCCCCGTTCCACAGTGCCGTCAACTACTTACAAAACTTCTACTTGGCATTTGTACCAGCTAAGCCTCCAGCTCTCGCAAAGGGGCTCCCACAGACACTTGAAGAGCTTTCAAAATATCAGGAAAACGATCTGATGCAAGCGCTTCCAATCGGCCGTCAACGACAGTGGATGCTTGCAACTCAATTGCCTTGGTTGCTGAGCTTCAAACCTGCGGGGAGTAGCAATCTCATCACCCTTGCTCAGTCCCAGCAAAAGGTGAACTGGGGCAATACTACGGAGGATCGAGAAGCGATTGCGGCAATTTGCAAGAAGTTCGAAGGCGACCTCCTACAATTGGAGTCTGAGTTCAAAGAGACTTCCGACAAGATGGACATAGGGCGAATTCCCTATAAAGTGATGAACCCTGAAGCGACAGCAAGGTCAATCCTCATTTAGAGAGCTCAGATATTCGTGTTTTCGACAAAATAGCACGCCTGATGTTGAGAATATGCATTTGTCGAAGTGATCGGAGCCAAACTGATAGGGATACATAAACGAGCAGAAGATAGAGAATCAATACTGACCTGCGCTTTCAAAGTAAGGGCATAACTGTCAGTGCCGCCGGTGCGTATCGAATGTAACCGACAGTCTTGAAAAAATGTACAAATGCAAGGTTGGCATCTTAATGTTCTCTGTGCACACGAAGACATTAAGTTTGTGTAGGATTTTGCTATCGTGCTGAGGATGCGCAAGCTGCAAGAGACATTTGAACAGATGCGAAATATAAAGCACAGAATCTATGAGCTTTCACTTATTGTATAAGGTAATTATGGTCACAAAAAACTCTAGACTACACCGGAATCTGCTGCATGGGATTGCTGTAAAGGCTTTGCTTCTGGAGAAGAGGACTCATCTGTCCGGGATACTTCCAATGCAACCAGACAACAACTAAGAACATGGGCAATGCGTCCAGACAGTAGACAAAAGCTTCCGTGGTCAGTAGGTAGCCGCCACTGCCTTGGCAATACTCAATGAGACGGAAAACGTTTCGAATAATGATCAGCGTGCTGGCAACATAGAGGGCATGAAGATAGCTTCTCCATCGCATATCGGGCTGCTGCTGACTTCGTGCTGTTGGGGCCAGGTTCATCCGGCGATGGAATACGAGGGCAATGGCAACGAAAAAGCCGAACCAGAGAAGTTGAAGTACGAGGCCGCCAATGATGATGTTGTTACCGGCGTCAAATGCGGATTTGTTGTCCTTTGCGGAGGTCAACATGCCGCCTCCTATGACAGTGTGAGTTGCAAAGGTACGAAGACGGACGCTGTGTCCTGTATTCAGGGCAACGTACCGCCAGCGAGAAGAAGGAAACAAATTACGTCGCCAATGACGAATATTTTGGTGAGCCATCTTCGTTTTATAATCGAATGTTTCTCTCCATCTAGGAGTTCAATGATTCGACCGAGGGACATGTAGATTGATGCCGCGAAGAGCGCAGGGGCAAGCAGAATGAACATTGTCTGGACAAGGTATGGTGTCTCCGTCCAGCACCCTGGTTTTTGGTTTGCCGAAACTGCTCTGCCGATGAAACCGACAAATTCAACTGTGACAAATTGTTAGCTGGATCAAGGTGCGCCGGATCTTCTCGCTCCGGAACCACATACACAAACATCCCACAACCAATGGCATCAAAAACCAGGCCTTAAAGTTCAACAACTGGAAGGAATGACCTGCTAAAGACAAGAAAAAGAGCGCCGCGAATATACTTGCAGCAGCGAGGGACGGGACATATTTGTAGTATGAAAAGGATACATGCTCCCAGTCCGGGATGCAAGTGTTGCCGCCGTTGCTCATATTCGATGATACAAGACGTAAATAGTGAACTTAAGCTGAGAAATATCACGAAAAGTCTCAAAAGGACGGAAGAAGTCGTATGAAGTCGCGAAAGTAATGGTGAAGAACTTGCTTCATCACCGTTAACGGCAGCTATGCTGCTTCGAGAGCGTTAAATAATTCCCAATAGTAACCCTTTCCCCTTTTCATAAAGGCTGTGCTCTCAGAATTTGCGATCCTGATACGCGTCATCTAAAGTCAAAGCCCAACCGCACGAGAGGACATCGGGCTTCGGAGTAGAACCATTTCGCGTCTCGGCGGCCACCTATACTCGGGGGACCCGGTGTGTTGGGGTTCCACGCATTTCCGGCAGCCAGGTCGATTACAATGCTCGCATCACAGCGCATGCCCTGACTCATAAAACGTTTTAAAATACAAGTATTTGTTTGGTGTTGCTTACAGTTATGCTTAACTAACTCTTAAAGTAGAAAAAGCTGCTGACAACGGGATGGAGGCGCAGTTGATCCGTCTCCACATGAATGCATATAACAATATACGGAAGCAAACACTGGACGTTGACCCTACGGGATATTCCCGTCTCATCTCACAATGAATTGATCATAAAGTGTTATCAGGTGCTCCCCTCTCGAGTACTTTCGCCATGCTCACGATAGTGTGAAGGAGACTCCAGAGTCGTCAGATGATGAATGTATGATTCTTTGAGGAAAGCAAGCAATGGCTACAAGCTTTTGCCTCTAGAAAAAATACCTCGTTCTTGGTCCCGGAAAGGATTCTGCTGCACCAGGAAACGTACTATTCTAACCATCTAGTTGTCTTTTCCATTGTCGCAATTTTTTAATTGCCGATTCATCTTAATGCTGCCCTTGTATAAGTACGAAGATTCAACGGCGGCCTATAAGGGACCAATTTCCCACACGGATTACTTGCCGCTGCACGGGATTCGCTTAACCCAAAATTCTAAGACACGGTATTCGTATTCCGTAGCCTATTGAGGTCGAAAGCATCGGAGGCCTCGTCACTACCTAGTAGCTTCCTTGCAGCAATATGTCATTGGGGTAGATGTATAGATAGGCGAAAGGATAGTACAAAAAAGGTTTATGGAAATCTTCAAAAAGGAAAAAGACAAAGCGCGGAGATATATAATGGGTTGGCATGTGCTGTTCATTCTACAGTACTTGTATGCTTCGTTGGCGTTTGGAGTGCATCCGCTAGCGAAAAAGAGATAATAAATACATGTTCGGTCGATAGCTTCATCCCCAGTTTGACCTTTTGCGACAATCGCTGTTTTGGCCACAGGTGGTGAAAAGGAACTGCAGGACGGCAGGCCCCTCTGGATAGCGCTTCAAGACTCATACACTGCTACTAGTAGAATTATCTCTGCAGAGAAGACAGGAAATCAGAACATCGTTATGTGAAAGAGTGCTATATAGTAAGAAGTGCCTAAGTAGGGTTACAAGCGCAGAGACGTACCTTATGAGTCAATAGGATTTCCTAGATCATATATTTCTACATAGAGAGTTTTCGCCTCTCGCCGCTTGATGCTTCCCGCTTACCTTGTTAGCTTAGTCAAGGTGAGAGGAGCAGTGTTATATTTGAATCACAGGATGCTTTCCTAACTGGGTTGACTGGTGAACGCTAACTCAAGAGAAGGTGGCATAAGAACGCCCGATTTGTATGATTGACCTGTATCTCTCATTGCGTATTCTCGGCATCATTCGCGCATCACCGAACGTGATTATTTAACCTCAGCGGCTAAATGAGAGGAGTTCCAAGGCTCGGCTACTATAAACGTGCAGCGTGTGCGCCTTCAATTTTGATCTTCATTGAGCGCTCGTAAAGCGTCCGATGGTTTGTTCATCTGACTACCTCAATCTTCAACCATGAGCTCGAAAGCACATCTTACTCTTAACCCTTCGTCCAGAGCTGCGTTGCTTCGATCGCAAGCTCACGCTGGGACAACTCCCACTAGTCTCCCAATCAAGGATGTTCGCACGCATCCTCGTGCCTCGTCAACAGGCAAGGAAAATGCCAGTGTTTTTTTTATTGGGAATGCCACAACGGTCCTCGAATGGGGCGACTTTCGCATCCTGACAGATCCAAACTTTTTGCACGCAGGAGACCATGTGCACCTTGGCCCGGGAGTAACCTCTCAACGCAGGACGAACCCCGCCGTGGACCTTGACCAGTTGCCCTCCATGGACTGCATCTTATTGTCCCATTACCACGAAGATCATTTTGACCAGCTCGTGGAAGAGTCGCTCAACCGAGACTTCCCCATCATCACAACTCCTCACGCAAAGGGGTGTCTGACGTCTTCGTCCAAAGCCGAACCTTTCAGGGCTGTCCACGCCCTCGACTTTTTTGAAAGCATACTGCTGGAATGTCCGACGGATACGCAGACCGAGGCGGCAACGCCCGTCATAAAAGTGACTGGCATGCCAGGAAAACATGTTCCGCCGGGACCTTTATCAGCCATTAATGATTTACTGAAAGCCGTTCCACCCACAAACGGGTGGTTGTTGGAGCTCGGCTGGCTCAACGTCGCCGCGGGTAACGTCAAAGTCGACCAAAATCCCCCCTCTGACGTGAAGACGGGATACCGTATCTATATTTCGGGCGATACTCTTTTTGTCGACGAGCTGAGGGACATCCCAAAGTGGCTCAACGGGAAGCCAATTGATCTCATGCTAGTACATCTCGGAGGCACAACAATTCCGGGCGCCTCCGCGCCATTGGTCATGGTGACGATGGACGCCAAGCAAGGCATTCAGTTGATTCATCTCATCCAACCCGATGTGACTATACCAATACACTTTGATGATTACGACGTCTTTCTGTCGCCGTTGTCGGACTTTCAAGACAAGATTGAGCAGGAAGGACTGCGGGACCGTGTTGTCTATCTGAACAGAGGAGACCAGTATCGCTTCACAGTTCGCCACGACGGAGATTGACACCTATGTATAAATATGATCAGATATGGCTAGCTAGGTACATATCAAGTGACATACTGAACGCGGGACGGGAGCGCCACCGAAAATACTGCTGACTCGTTAGCTCCTAGACAAGAAATGTAAACTTGGAAGCTATCGATATACGATATGTCGATGGCAAACTATTGGTGACTGATATTTTGAAGGGCAGCGACTTCAGTTCGGAAGTTCTGTTCGGTCTCATGATCAACCTATGACACTGACTTTGGAACGCGTTGTCCGATACTTTGCATCAATCGGATGCAGCCACGCGGTGCTATTGGCTTTGCCAGAAACATTTCAGCTTCCATAGGTCAGCCATATCTGCAATGCGGCAGCCTTTGCGCTCGATATGCTTAGACTCTCGAGTTCAGCTCCTCTCCCATGCAGATATCTGGTCACCAACTGGACAGAGGGTTTTGTTTTCTCATGACGATCCGCTCGCGGAAACATACACCGCCGAATGCAAAGTCAAATGGCCTCTACAGAAATGCAACACGGGGCGAGTAGGATGTAGGGGATGCATCACTAGCAGCAGACGCCTATATAAGGATGCTATTGACCGTCGCTTCGACCAAGTCACTTCAACCATCACCTTCCGATTCACGCCCATAGCTCCACTATATGAAGTAGCATCCATTGGAAATCACCACAATGACGCATGTTCGAAAAGACATCCGCCATCTCAGCGAGGCCGAGGAGGAGAAGTTACTCTTGGCCTTTGCAGCTATCCAGAAGCTTCCTCACAATCACCCTGATTCATTTTACAACATCGCCGGTACACACGGCCAGCCTTTCCGAGGCGCAGGATATGCAAACAAAGACTACTGGGGTGGATTTTGCCAACACGGCAACGTTCTATTCCCCACGTGGCATCGAGCCTATCTCTTGCGCCTAGAGGAAGCTCTTCGAAATGTGCCCGGATGCAGCGATGTTGCCCTTCCATACTGGAACGAATTGGAAGAAGATGACGATGGAAAGTGTATCCCAAGAATTTTCACTGACAAGACGCGCAAGGTTAAGGGCGTTGATGTCCCAAATCCCTTGTTCTCTTATACCATGCAACAGGGCTTCTTTGATAATCTCGCGAGAGATGTTCCTGTTCACGGCAAACCCAATCAGGTCTACAGGCTCGACTACAGCAAACCATCGGGATACCAAACCGTACGATACCCATACTCCGGTCTTGTCGGGCCTAGCGAGAAAGAGAGCACAGATAAGCATAATGCGACAATAAACAAGATGCCCGAGGCAGAGATCACTCAATTGCTTGAGGACAATGTCAAAAGCTGGCTTGAACCTGGAGACAAGGGTGTCCATGTCAACCCACCGCCGGGCGAGGTTCAAGATGGGAAGACATGGAGCGTTCCCAGCTCTTGGATCTCCAAGTACAAGCTGGGCAGTACAACGAGCCTACAGAGTGACACTGCTGCTCAACCGCTGTTCTTTTCCTGGCTCCTTCCAGGAACTCGTGAGCAGTATCTACGCTCTTTATTAGCTCCCAATTATACCGTCTTTTCCAATACTACATCGGCCGCGAAGTGGAATGACGACAACTTCGGTCGCCCGAGCTCTGACAAGGAAGCACCGAAGGACCTCGTTATTCCGCTCGAGAAGCCACACAATGCCATTCATCTGGCGGTTGGGGGGTATGATCTTCCCGACAGAACCGCCGGCAAGCCCAAAGTACAAGGCGCCAACGGCGACATGGGGGAGAACGATACCGCTGCTTTTGACCCAATCTTTTACTTCCACCACTGCTTCATCGATTTGGTCTTTTGGAGCTGGCAGCACAGACACCACTCAACAGAGAGCTTGGACATTATCGACTATTATCCCGGGACTAACTCCGTGGACGAGCAGGGACCAACGCCCGGGGTTTATGCTGGCGCATGGCTAACGGCAGACAGCCATATCGACCCGTTCAAGGATCGCAACGGCAAGCCATACACTACAAAGGTGAGTAATGGTCATGGGGACTTGGACTGTTCCTTTTTCGCCTTCAATTGCTCTATCAGCACATGTGTGAGAATAAAATCGACTGACAGTACCCTCCTGCCAGACTCTTGCCAATATCATCGATCTTGGTTATAGCTATGATACGATCATCAAACCACACGAGGTTCGGCCGTGGGCCATTTCAAGCCAACTTCCAACTCGGGAAGGCAATCTCCCAATCAAGCCAACCAAAACAACTATCCTACGTATCTCTGGTGTCAATCGAAACTCCATTGCAGGATCTTTCGTCATATCCCTCTGGGGTCGTCCCAAGAAAGCTGAATCCGAACCATGGCTGCTCTTCGGTGTCGAGCCCGTGTTTAGCAGATGGCACGTTTCCGGCTGCGCAAATTGCCAGAACTCTCTCGGTGTCAAGGCTCACTTTCCTGTGAGCAGTCTACCGGTTGAGGTAGCCGATGAGCTGGTCTACACAGCTTACGCGAAGAATGTAGATCCCAACGAGGAGGAAAGGAAATCAAGGCCGGTGCATGGAGCACTACCCGCTCTGCCTGCGCCTCATTCGGGTATCCGGGTAGATGTGGGACAGTATCTATATTAGATGCCTAAAGTCTGGGGAACGGTTGTGATTCTCTGCGGTGGAGCAATACTCTGGTCGTTTTAATGTTACCGGCATGCCTCGTTCACTTTGTCGCCCACAATCGTGTATCTCACTTATATTGCGAGTTTTATGCTGGCCTCTATCAGTAGGCAGCTACCCGTTGCAGCCTTCAGAGCGATTGGTGAAGATACCAGTCATGATTTACAAGTTGCAGGAAATGAGCAGAGAGCATCATGTGAACACGCCCATCCAAGACCGCTCCGTGCATACGCTCGAGTTCGCTTCGTAGAGTTATTTCCAACATGCGCCAATCACTCCTGTTCCACGGATACCCTATCGCGATTTCGTTCTTGGCTGTCCATGATTCTTGGTCGAACGTATTCCCTCGATGGGCTAGTTCAAGATGCGAAGGAAGTACATTGAATGGGGAGCTGGAGGAGGCGAAGAATGTCTTCGTGTTGTAGCTTCCTGGGCAATGTAAAACCAGGGCTGTAGTTGTCCGACCGTGTATGGTAACGCACATCGTTTCTCATCCCCTGTACACCTAGTTATCCCTTGTTATATCCTATATAGCCTTTCAAACCCAAAGTTCCAGACTTCCGCCCTGCGTGTTCCATCAGAAGACTCCTTGAACCCGACGTGCTGAAATACACTAGGCTCCAATGCCCATTTAACCCATCCACGGGCTTCAGCATAATCCTCCAGTATCATATCCCCAGGAAAGTCGTACGGCGGGTCTCTCAACAACACCTGAAAGTCTGCCAAGTGGCGCTGAGGAAGGACAAGTCCCTGAGCACAACAGCCGTAATGCGGCATCTCGCGAGCTCCATGCAACGCGCTCAATCTGAAGGGATTCAGTCTGTTAACAGAAAGACGACCCGAGAGAAAATACAGGGCTATAAGAGCGGGCAGCCAGAGACCGAAGAGGAGAGCTGCAAGATAGCGCTGCGCGTGCGGCGAAACGCTGGAGGAAACACCAACACGCACATATTTTCGTCCCACCAGGAACATGACGAGCACAGCGGTGTACACCAGGCAGATGACCTTGGAGTACGACAGCCATTCCTCGTTGTTCCATCCCATCAGGATTTCTGAATAGAACAGTCTCAGGTATATCCACTCCTTCTTGGTCTCTTCGGTCTTTCGTTCGACGTACGCAAGGCCTTTTTTGAACCTCGGAAACCAGTCGCGGGTCGTGACAATGTCATCTTCCACCAAGGCAAAGTAGGGATACTCTTGCTCTCTGCACGCTTCCACTAGTGCTGAGTGATCAAGTCTCATGTTCTCGACGCGACCATCACCGCGAGTATTTCCCTCCTTCAAGTCGAAGGGTATGCGACGGTATACAGAGCTTCCCATCGGAGGCTCCCCGTACAGGAGAACTTCGTCGACAAGCGGCTCGAGCCACGGCTGGCCATATGCGAAGTGTTCCGAAGGCGATTTATCGGCCAGTAGCACAACAATGCGTATTGATGCCCGCTCTTCCGGTGTTAGTGTATCGGATAGTGTAGCAATCGTGGAGGAAAGGAACGATTCGGTGGTGCGATTGACGCTTGGAATGCCGATGCACAGCAGCTTGTCGACGGGTTTGTTCGGTATGACTCTCGCGGGCGGATTCCTGATGTAGGCGTCTGCCTCAGCTGCCCTCACGCTAGAGAAGCGCTGTTTGTAGGCTCTCTCGGCATTGAAGAAGATGGACGAGGGATCATCGTAGGAGAAGAAAGAAGAGAATACAAAGAGGATGATCCACAGCGAGCAAAAGACGGCGTTGATGCGAGCGACAGACATGGCTGTGATCGCGCCCCGCGGACTTCACGCTACGTTGCCCTTTTGCTCGCGACAGTCCCGGGATTGATGGCTTTATAGGGTTGTTCCAACGCGAGACTGATCCTTTAGCCAAGAAATCTGACAAGCATTGCCCCCATAAAATGTGGTTGATCGTGCCAGGGTATCATTAGGCGGGTTGGCTCGCTGAGGAGGCGATTTTAGAATAACTACCATGTACTGGATAATCCATACTCTGTCAGATAACGAGATACGATCATGCTGTTTGGATGTGTATAACCCGTATCGATGGACATCTATCAATCTCAGTTGGACAATGTGGACTTACTTCCCATTCTCTTAGACTAGGGACGTGATTTGAAGACTTAGGCTCTGGAGACTTCGAATGCAAGGATTGATGCCAATCATCAGTCCCGCTTATTAGACATCGCATTACATACAGTACAAACTGCGTCTTGTTACACCACCAAGTGTTTGCGGCACCCCCGTTTTCGCCCGCCTTACCTACTTACCTAGTGTATCTTGAAAGATTATCCAAATGGTGGTACTGCAAATCAAGACTCAATTTTCTAGAATGATCGCCTTCGCGTACATCATCACGGAGTTCGGGATCACAGCATTAGACCGTTGCTGTGGGTACTTATAAGCAAGACATGGTTGGCGGAGATTTGACTCAAGGCCGTACTTGGTAGAGCAGGGTAATTTTTGGGTTGCAGGATAAATAGGGTTCTGACTTCCGTCGTCCTAATATGTTCTCTGAAGATATGTACCAAAAAAGACTATGTACTTCGGTTGGAAACTTCCATTGATGCTGTCAATCAAGATTGGTTAAATTCTAACACTGGTTGAACTTTGAGTCAGAATAAAGCCATCCAGTCATTCGGTTAGCAATATCGTTGACGTAGGAAGCTGTTGCTCCTTGGCCGTCGTTCAAATTACCGCTGTTTACGGAACCCGAGTTGTAGCAACGAGCAGCCTGGTGATGACAAATTAGCTTTGTGGCATTAAGCAATCTTTTCATTTACCTACTTCGTAAATGTTGCCATACTGGTTGATGCATTGGACCAGTCCGTCACCAAGGGCAGTTCCCTGGGTTCCGTCGATAACCATTTGGGTAATGCTAGATTGCTGGGCAGAGTTGCTGGCAGAGTTTCCAACGAAGGTCACTCCTCCATCCGACTGCATCAGACCGGGATTGTCTGGCTGGGAAGGGTCCGGGTTGGTGGTCGGGCAAACGTTTACACAGCCAATAGACTGTGAAATGTTAGCAATTCACTGAAGACGACGGGCTGCAGGAAACGTGCCTCTTGGAGAATGGTAGCAAGGATGAATCGATGGTCAACCAGAGAAGCCTGAGCGACCTGCTGGATAGCATTCCATATCAACCCGGTCTGCTCTCCGCTGTTACCAGGTCCAAAAGCTCCTGCACCATTCGAGCAAGATCCTATGCCGAGGTCGGCACAGGATTCTGCCATGGCATTCTTTGAGTAGTTCCACATGGCATCAAACTCAATCCATTCAGATACGGGGGGAAAGCTCTCCCAGCCACCATAGTAGCACCCTATTAGAGTTAGGACTGGTCACATCCATACTGTTTTCAATTGGGGCGGAGTGTGCATCTGGGCTACTTACGGTATGTATCCGACCCGGCATTTCCTGTGCCATCGTAGATGTTCGCATTGTTATTGTTGCCAGCACCACTGCTGAAAGCTGCCGAGCTGGTAACCTTTTGACTGGAAGGGTTGGACACAGCAATGGACCGAGACTTTTCAACGCCGCCCTATTGATTCTAAGTTTTGAAGATCCCACAGTTGAGGAGTGATACATACCGTTCGAGCTCCCAAGGCGAGGCCGGCAAGAGCCAACTGGATCGTCGCTGTGAAGAGCATGTTTAAACTTTTCAGGTACACGCAAATGCTAAGGGAGCTGTGTAAGTCGCCGATGCAAAATCATCTTCTGTATCAAGAGATTGGAGAATATTCTTCAATTATATACACAGCACTGATTCCATCGACTACCCGTACCAACGGAGAGCAAGTGGACCTAGCTAGAACAATCATGGAAGGCAGATATGATCCTGGAGGTTTTTCCGATATCTGGTAGCTCGCTGCACCGTATCACTGCTGAAGAATCGTAACGTAAGTACCAATATAGATTGTCATTGCTTAAGAATCTTAGATTTCTCGTACAATTCGTGCTGCAGTAGCTATTATGGGTGTGCCGTGCTTGCCGTGCTCAACAGACATTGAACTAGCCTTAATACGAAGAATCCCCAAAGGAGAAGGAGGTTGAAGAAAGTCGGCAATTCGGTCCTTTTACGGCTTACCCAACCCCAGGTCATTAAGACCGTTTAAGGCGATTGTTGCCATAGATTCCATCGTTCTGCGCCAGACGGAGTTTCAAATCGAACAGTTCATGGCAATTATTAGTAAAGTCCGCGATTGTGAACCAGGTACAAATGCCGCCAAAAGAATGGATGTTGAAGAAGAAAGTATCCCGGAAAGAGAAATAGTATCAAGTGGAAAGTGCAATTGCGCGGCTTCTCCCCTAAAATATGCACCTGTCGCCCGCACTACAACATGACATTGAAGTTGGTACCTGTTGACTCTTCTTCATCCCAATATCAACAATAAAGGCAATCCCGAGTTCGTTTCGCCTTATGTTGCTATGCTCCCCCTTTGAGAAATTGGTAGTGCTGATGCCGATCACGTGTTGGGTGTACAGAGCGACCAGTAGCATGATTATTGCCGTCGCAGCAGCCTGGGGACACAAGATGACACCTGTTTACCTTATGATCGTATTTCGATTGCCATCAACTCCTTCAGGGCAAGCTTAATTACAGTGCCACTGCTCATTTGTGGGATTCCATGTCTCTCAGAGGTAGCCCCGCGAACTTGCAAAAGGCTCTCCAAGAATGTCTCCAAGGCACCATCGAGAATGGCGTGCCAGGCCTGTCTGCAGCAGTCGCATCCTCAAAGGGGCTTCTATGGTCGGGAACGGCGGGGTTGGCAGATATAGAAAACAGCGTTGCGTTTACATCTGAACACGTCGGTGGCATTGGGAGTATCACAAAGGTCTTCATGAGTGTGGTTATACTACAGCTCATTGATGAACAGACACTCGGCATCGACGATACCCTTGCGCAGCATCTATCGGAGGAAATACTTCGAGGCATCCCAAATGCTTCAAAATCCACGATCGGCCATCTTCTTCGTCACACATCAGGAATTCCAAGTTGGGAAGACGATCCCCTGTGGATCCGGCAGGGTCGTGGGTCTGAGCTCGATCCTCGTAAGATCTGGCTGAGTACGGAAACCCTGGACTACATTCGGTACGACAGCAACTCTAATCTCACGGCACCAATTCCCCAGCCAAAGCCAGGCACCTACTCTTATTCCAATACCAACTTTACCTTCCTAGGTCTAGTTGTTGAGGCTATCGCTTCGAAGGCTGCATCTCCCGAAACTAATGCGCCCTCTGGACACCATCATGCCACAGCTGCAGCCGCCATTCGTTCACGAGTGCTTGAGCCTCTAGACTTGAAGTACACCTACCTTGAGGGGTTCGAAGCATCTCGAGCGGGTACGATGCCGGGTAGATATCACTGGGCCACTCCAGTGTTTGTTGAAACCGCCGGTGTCTGCCCGTTCTTCGGATACCCGAAGACTCGTCCAGATATCCTGAACGCGAGTACATCAAATATGTCCACCGAATGGGTTGCTGGCGGCAATCTATCTCATCCCAAAGATCTCTGCACCCTAGGGCTTGGAATTCGAAATGCGAAAGTTTTGTCTAACTCGTCACTGGAAATTATGTACGACTTTCTGCCAATCACAGCTACGACATGGGTTGGTCATGGCATCTTCAAAATGCAGACGGCGAATGGTTCTATTTGGTACGGCCACAACGGAAGTACATTGGGTTTTACTGGAAGCTTCTTCTGGAATGAGAAGATTGATCTTGCCGTTGCGGTTTTGGGAAACGTCGGTACGATGCATGCAGGAGAGGTCCCCGGAAGCGCAGCATCCGTGATATACGAGGGGGAGTTTCTTGGATTAGCGGTGAAGCTTGCAACTCTGGAGTAGGGAAGAAACCTGGAACATGCGAAGAACTGAGGTTGCCCGAAACCAACATCTCAACATCCCATACAGTATACCATGTTATGGATCCTTTGCCTTGATATCCACAATCATGATTTGCCAGTAAAGCGCTACATTCAGCAATACTTCAGAGATATTGAATATGGTATGGTCTAGAGATTTATCTATTTGCACCCGTATACACTGAGAGAGCATTCGCCAATGAACATACATACTCGGAACGGAGGGTAGCGTCTGGGTTTGGGATGCTATTTCACTTCGGAACAAGGCCCCTGGCCTTATCCAAACTGGACTTTGTGAAGTTAGCAATACCCCAGACGTCCAGCATTACCATGATTGCTCCATGACCCGCTTCTATCAACGCAGGAACCATGTCTAAGTTCGTAGCGGCACTGTACAGGATCAGCTTTTGTGACTACAAGTGTGACGGTAACAACATGAAGGCAACTTACCCAAACAACGGCACACCATGCTTCTTGCTTGCCTTCGACATGCTTCCCATAGCAGCGAGCAGGGTGGGATGCGGTTCTCCCCCCAAGCTCAGCTCCAGTCCTGCATCGGCCATAAAATCTCCGGGCCCGAACATGAGAGCGGAGATGCCGGGTATCGATGCGATGTCGTCGACGTTTTCAATCCCCTTGACACTCTCAATCTGGGGGATGACAGCAACATGGTTGTTTGCGGTCTTCATATTGAACGCATCATTCGGATACAAAGAAGCGTCCGAGATGCCGGGGGTGAAGACCCAGGGGCTGAAGGAGCGGCCACCGAGAGGGGCTAGTGTCGACATCATTCGTAAGTTGATAGCCCACACTGTGTCACTTTCTCGCTAAAGCCATGTACTTACGATAGTAGATCTTCTTCATGTACTCCTCGACTTGTTCTCTGGTCTCACAGTGGGGGATAATGATGCCAGAGGCACCGGCGTCCAACGCCGTCGTCAAAGAGACTTCGTCTTCGCCGGGCACTCTGATAATAACCATTGTTTGACCCTCAGAGTGGTGTTGGGCTGCATGAATGGCGCTATCCTGGTTAGCATCCCTATTGCTATGTGGCATATTGGAGTCCATCTTTAGCCTTACTCGTGTAGCGCCAGGCGGTCAAACATTCCATGCTCAACGTCCATCCAAATGAAGTCGGGTCGCGTGGAAGCATAGACCTTGGTCAAGAAAACGCTTGGAATTCCTTGACCGACTCCAAAGAGAATCTTCTTAGGATCTTTCTGCGCTTCCCGCAAAGCCCCTTTGAGGTTTCCCGGATACGTCAAGAGAGCCGACCGCCATTTTGCCTGCGTGTGCAAGCTCGGTTCGTCAAGGTAACCTTGGCCCGACATGCTGGACAGGTCGACTGCTTGAATCAAATGGTGGTGTTTCGCGCACGTATTGGGGGGATTTGAGAACGATAGACCGAAGCGGCGACGTTCCCTTGCTATAACTGGATGATGAATGAATCGAGAAGAGTATTCAGTCAGGACACAATCCGGAAGATATCCCGCGCCAGCTCAGGTATATATATATTTCAACCTTCCCTGGCTATGGCTCAAATCATCGAACCGAGCTGCAAGTGAAGTTGTCCTGCCAATTAGCGCTTATCTCATTCTGACAGAATACTCATTCTTATGATATGTTGAGAATATAATAACCCGCTGTGATAGCAACTAGCTTTGCTAGGCTCCGCCATGTTCAAAAGGTTTGTCTCTAGTGCTGAGTCGCATAGACATTTGTCAGGCACAGAAGAAGACTCGGAAAACAAACCGTAATCTCCAATGTCCGACATCTCAGCCTCAACAAATGGCACCACAATGATGAACATGGTATGCCCGGTATGAGGCAAATCTCAGATCGGAGAAGAATGTGACTTAATGCGGTAACGCCGAGTCATCAGTCGTATTTCACGAATGTTTATTAGTAGGTGAATCCCAGGCGTGGAGTGTTGTATGACCAAGCGCGGAGTGTTTTATGACCAACAAAGTCCGTTGTTCTGACCACGCAACCGACAACTCATTCCCCACTCCTTTTTTTCTTTAGGTTCGAAGGCCGCAATCCTTCATGCTGACTGCATCGATGATGTATCGTCATGTTTCAAACACGCAGAATTCTTTCTGGGTAGGGGGCAGCAGGTTTTTATACTGTTTCTCTCTACACTCAGCGGAAGTATGACTGATAGGTGAAGTGTTAGTTGACCTTACTGTATGTCTTTTTTGGGGGTTATAGTAATAAACGCTGGCGCACGAATACTCGTACACGCGGTGCATAGATTTATCAGATCTGGATTTTGTGATGTATCTACTTGGTTACGCTTCGGGTATTCAGCAGGACTAGTATCTGGCTTTGAGTACCTTATTAGCTTGATCAGCGCTCCTCAAGCGAGGGTGGCGTGGATTACTGTTGGTCGTATTCCTCTGCGAAGCCGTATTCGGGATAATCCTTGAGGTGAATGGCCTAATCTATATCCCTTTTGGGACGGGATTCTGCGCGTCAGCATACATAGACTGTCCACACCGTGCTAGACAGCTCTGGCGTGCGTTCTGCTAATTTCGCCCTTCATGATGGTAAGTTTTCGTGTCAATGAGGCGCGGTAGAGTTGAAATTTTGTTATCGTAAGCTATATGATGTTCTATGGCTACTTACCTATAGCTACCTTATAGAGCGCTACTCTCTAATTCCCCGTTAGCTAAGTACCAGACCGTATATCGCATGCAGCGAATGTTTCAGGTCAGAGTTTCGCGTGTACTTCGCCAGTAGTCGATGTAGATACCGATAAGAAAGGGTTGACGGGTAGTTGCTGCTACGAGTAGGAGTACGTAACACAGGAAACTCGATGTAAAGCTATGTGACTGCTCCTTTGCTCACTGGTCGTTGATTTACACTCTTGGAGATGGTGATTGGGCCGTTCAGCTGGCGAGGGTCTCGTGCTACATGCATGTGTAGGTATGTAGCTACCAGGTAGGAAGTACAGCCGTATCATCCCCGCACAGCTGTTTGACTGGGCATCTTCGCAGGTCATTAGGCTCATTATCGAGTTTGCGGAGGTGCACTTGTGATACTCATAGATACTCTTGACATAGCTTGCTTCTCTACGGACAACAAGAAATCCAATCCACTCCAAGTCCATCGAGCTTTCGCGAGCTGAGAGACGAGCCCATCGCAATCAAGGACCACCTGCACACAAACGGCGCAATCACGATGGGTTCTGATCCAAACACGGCGAGCTTTCTGGGCTCGACCTCCACCGATTTTCCTCGCACTCACGAAAAGATACGTGAACCAAAGGACACACCGTATTTCGTTGAGAACGAATTCCGAATGTCCCAATCCAAACACTTCGTGCCTGTCCATGATCCTGCGACAAATAATTTGGTGACCAGGGTTCCAATGATGACCACCGACGAATTGCAGGATGCCATTGATTCCGCGCAGAAAGCATTCAGCTCCTGGAGCAGACTCTCCATCATTGCCCGACAGCAGATCATGTTTCGCTACGTCGCAATAATCAAAGAAAACTGGGACAGACTTGCCGCCTCCATCACCCTGGAGCAAGGCAAAACATTTGCAGATGCGCGAGGTGATGTGCTTCGTGGGCTACAAGTGGCTGAAGCTGCATGCGCCGGTCCTGAGTATATGAAGGGAGAGATTCTTGAAGTTGCCAAAGACATGGAGACGAGGACTTACAGGGAGCCTCTTGGCGTTGTTGCCGCAATCTGCCCGTTCAGTATGTGCTTCCGCCGGCCGCAAACCACCAAGCAGCGATGCCTAACAAAAGCTGTGCAGATTTCCCGGCAATGATACCGCTTTGGTGCATTCCGATTGCTACCATCACTGGCAACACGCTGGTGCTGAAGCCCTCCGAGCGAGATCCCGGGGCTGCCATGATTCTTGCTGAATTGGCCGAAAAGGCCGGGTTTCCAAAGGGCGTGATCAACGTGGTCCATGGTGCGCACGATACCGTCAATTTTCTCCTAGACTGCCCGGTGGTCAAAGCCATCAGTTTTGTTGGAAGCAATAAGGCTGGTGAGTATATCTTCACTCGCGGCTCTGCGAATGGCAAGAGAGTGCAAGCAAATCTGGGCGCGAAGAATCATGCATTGATCATGCCCGACTGCGACAAGGGAGCGACGCTGGACGCTATTGTCAGTGCGGCCTTTGGAGCTGCCGGACAGCGCTGTATGGCACTGTCGGTCGCAGTGTTTGTTGGTGAGACCCGAAGCTGGGTTGATGAGCTGGTGGCAAAGGCGAAGACTCTCCGCACTGATGCTGGCTTTGAAGCTGGCGCTGACCTCGGTCCTGTTGTGACACCCGAGAGTAAAGCGAGAATCGAGTCGCTTATCGCAAGTGCGGAGGCAGAGGGAGCCAAGATCATTCTTGATGGCCGCGGGTATAAGCCAGCAAGATACCCAAACGGTAACTGGGTCGCACCGACGATCATCGCCAACGTCAAGCCATCTCAGCGGTGTTACCAGGAGGAGATATTTGGCCCCGTGCTGGTGTGTGTCGAGGTTGACACGCTCGAGGCTGGTATCGAACTCATTAACAAGAATGACTATGGGAACGGCGCTGCTGTTTTCACATCCTCAGGTGCTGTTGCAGAGAGGTTCCGGCGCAATATTGAGGCAGGCCAATTGGGCATAAATGTGCCAATTCCAGTGCCTCTCCCAATGTTCTCTTTTACAGGAAACAAGAAGAGTGTGGCTGGAGGGGGAGCCAGTACCTTTTATGGGAAACCCGGTGTCAATTTCTACACGCAGCTGAAGACGGTCACTTCCAAATGGTCAAGCGTGAGTATTGCACCAACCAAGGCAGAGCTGTCAATGCCTACTGGATTGTAGCATAGTCACGGTTTGCACGCTGTGCAAACGAAGCTTGCAGCGAATGGGGCATGAATCACTTCTCATATACCAGTCAGCGATTAGAGCGGCTTTAGCAGCAGGTCGTGATGCACCAAATCGTCAATCGGTCTATTCCGCAATATACGCTGTTTACGTTTCATCATATGAGTTATCGATTTATTTACTATACTTCCTCACGCCTCTTTCTTTGTCGTCAGCTCGTTGCAATACTTTTTCCTGTTCGGCTTTGATGAAGGTCCTCCCATGATCCATACCGCACTACACATTTGTGATTGGCTGGCATTCGCCTTGAGGGTTGCCTGTCTCAACGAACCTTGGATTTCTTGTTACGGCATATGTAAGAACATTTGAGAGTAATAATATCTTGAATGGTTTGATAGAGAAGCTTTTCATATGCATGCTCACTCCAGCCCTAGGAAGCTATAAGATCTCATATAACTAGCCTATGCTGTTAATGTGAATCGCTGGGCTAAATAGGTAGCATATCATTACGATGTACTATCTACATGAGATTTGTAAAGCTGGTCACTTGTGCACCGGCGCCAATTATTAATTGCTGCAAAGCTTAGGGAGGTGAAGCCTTCAATAATATATAGGTTTGAGCAGTCTTTAATGAACTCTTAAGTCAGCAGTAGAAGAAGGCAGACAAGATCACTTGCGCTTGAATATTCGTGGAGTAAGCAACAATTCTACTCCAACGTTGGTCTTGATCGTTGGTGGGTCTCGTGGTCAAGGAGGCTGTGAGTTTAAGCATCTGTGTGAAGTAATGGCCAACGGCAGCTAAATATGAACAGCTGTCCGCCTTCACGGACGTAACGATATTCGCCACTGCGCGAAACCCAGAAATGGTGACTGAGCTTCAGCACGTTGCCACTTCTAGCAAAGGTCGCATTTATATTCTTGTGGCTGATGCCAACGAGCCAGGGGAATTTCTATGGAGATACAACGGTCATCCCCTTCTTTGAATATCCTCATATACAACTCCGGCATTCTGCATGGCTTTGCAAACCTGTCAGAAGTCAGTATCCAGCATCTGATCTACAACTTCACGATGAATGCCAATAGCGCATAAAACGCTCCAATTGACTTTGTGCCCCTCTTGTTACGGTCACAGTATGATGAAAGAACTCTGACTTTGCTCTCTTCTTCTTTCGCATTAACGCAGCTGAACGGAGGTTTCTGCCGCCCATGAGACGCTATTCGGAAACGGCTATGACGCGACCGCAATGTATAACATTTCGAAGGTAAACAGTACGACGAACGCTTACTGGACCACACTTTGCTAACAAGGACCTCCAGACTGCCTTGAACCTCTTGGGAAAAGAACTTGATATTGTACTTGGCTGACAGGGCTTGCCGGTTGTTCTTACTCACCCCGGACTAGTAAAACAGATATGAGTTCAGACGGAGAGATTGACGTTTCCCAAAATGCCGCAGGCGTCTAAACTATAAGCCTCCACCAGTTTGCGTTCAGGGATCAAACCACCACGTCGTGTAGTATCAGAGCCACACGGTCATTCAAAACAGGAAGGAAGGATTATTTATGCCTGGAACGGTGATGAGCTGCCTTGATAACTCAGAAGCGTGCGTGTTTGCGAACGAGCTTGATAAATATGGAAAGCCAATTAGAATGGATACTACGAGGGCTTTCTTTATCTTGCTAAGATTACCAGATTGCATCGTATGTAATTCAAAGAGGGATTAAGAGCGCCTTATCTAAGTTAACCTTGATTGGTTTTAGCCACTACTGTCCATATCTCGACGACTATATGATAGCTACTCTTTAATCGATCTGAATAACGACTTTTCCAACATGCTTTCGAGCTTCCTAAAATCAGGTCAATATGGTTCGAATCAATGGACACGAGGGACTTATACCATGTACTCCAGGCCTTCCCGTAGCTCCTCCAGCTTGAAAACTCTCTTGTCGAGGATGGGCTGAATGCTGTTGGCTTCAATTGCCGCCATCATCTCCTCCATCTGGTCCCTGGAGCCGATATGGATGCCGCGGAAAGTACAAATGTTCAGCAAAGCATCCAGAATACTGGCGTCTCCTGGTTCAACGCCGGTCAAGATTCCAATGACAGTGACAATACCTTCATGCTTGATCGCTTTCACGCTGTGTGACAAGGTTTCAGGCCCACCAACGTCGAGTATATGGTCAAATCCTTCTTCATCGGGTGTGAAGCTCCGTGCTGTCAGTCCCCAATTTCTGTCCTTCACGTAATTGATGATGTGGTCAGCACCAAGGCTACTCAGTAACTCGGACTTGTCAGGCGATGATGTTGTAGCAACAACCTTGGCACCGCCAGCTTTGGCAAACTAATAATGGTCTTAGCTTCACGTTGCCTGGGTAAAATAACCTCGTTGTGTTTACCTGAATGGCAAGTAGGCTAAGGCCGCCAGTGCCCTGAATCAGAACCCATTCGCCTGGCTTGATTGCCTTAAGTCCATAGAGGGCATTCCAGGCTGTCACTCCGCAATCAGACAGTGAGGCACCCTCGAGGTAGGATAAATTGGACGCGAGGCGAACCAGCCATGTCTCCTCGTATACTCCGTACTGCTGAAAGGTTCCATCAAAAGAACCGCCAATGCTCCCCTTCTGCATTATAGCTCTCGTCATGGGGCCAGATTGGTGGCCCGGGTTAAAAAGAGTCGTGACTCTGTCACCTTTCTTCCATTTCGTCACTTTGGCACCAACTTGAACGACCTCGCCAGCTCCGTCAGAACCGCCGACAACAGGGAGGTGCAGGTTGAATATATAGGTCCCCTAAACAATGAATCAGCCCCAAGGTACTCCATCATGCGACCTCAATGTCCAAGTAGAGCTTTACCCTGGGGATAATGTGATCGCGATAATTCAGCGATGCCGCGTGCAGCCTGACCAAGACTCCATAGTCACCGACGGCTGGAATGGGCCCTTGGATAAATTTGTATTCATCAAGACCCTTCTCTTGGCCCTCAATAACCCATTTGTTTTGAAGCCGAGGATGAGAAGACATGTGGGCAAATTCTTTAGAGTGCCGGATCCGAGTAGCTCAAGAAAACGATTGCAATAAGAAAGAAAAAAGTGAGATGCTTTCGGACTGCTTTGAGATCTTCTTGAAATAACATAGAGACGTAGATGTGGTTTTTATTGTTGCTCGGATGGCTCTGTTACTATCATCCGTGATTTCCCGTTAAGCTGCTAGATGCTCCTCTACTGCTGGATTCTCACTAATCTTTTATATGCGTGCACGGTAGGCACAGTGTGATTAAGATTGCACGTTGACTAACCTGGGATAGGTTGCATGTTGTTAAAAGTTACAAATCACTTACGAACGAACGGACATTCGATTGACGAGTCTGGATGCAGTAAACGGGAGCAATTAAGATTCGATGCAAATATGCTGTGTTGAAACGGCGACATAAGTTGAAAAAGGTTTTCTAATAGAGGCTAGACCAGGGCATATTAAGTTTATAGTGCTTTATAAAGGGCTTGAGGTGACTTAACTCTCTGCGTCTGCACTTTATTATTAATAACACTATATCTTTTAATTATAATTCTTTTAGCGAGAATATTATTATAGAGAACTGCAGCAGTCTTTTAAATAGATTATATATTATATAAACCACCCTTATCTTAACTAGGCAAATAGTTTAAAATTACTAGGTAAGTTATATTAAAATTATTAGTTTAAAATAGCACTATATTAACTAAAAGGTATATAGATTTATATAGGATTTATTAATAAATTTAAATACCTCCTTATATTAATTTTAAAAAAGTAAATAAATAATAATAATCTTTATTATATAAATATAAAAAGACTATAATAAAACACTATAATATATATTTATAAAATAATTATTAATATTAATAAATTTTATATTTATAAAAATATTACTTTAGCTATTATTAATTATAAAGTTTTTTAAATTAGTAAATAAGGCTTTTAAAGCTTTTTAAGCTTATACTTAAAATAAGGGTTATACTTTAGTTAAGATATAGCCTTTATTTTATAAAAATAATAAACTATATTATTATAATATTTTATATATATATAAAAATAGTATATATAAGTCCTAGTCCTTTAAATTATATAAATTAATTATAAAATATATTAGCTGCTTATTTAAGATAAAAATAGTTTAAAAGAAGGATATAAATAATCTTTAAATTTAAGGATTCTTTATAGTAATTATAATTATAATTCTAATATTATAATTAGTTTTTTTAAGCACTAACGCATAGCCTTAATAAAAGACTAAAAGAATATTAATATAATACTTTTAAATTATTTAAATCTTATAGCCTAAGTAATTAATAAAACTATTAAACTTTAATATCTTAATATTCTTTTTATAAAAAAAATATTATAAATTTATATTAAGAATTTATTAATAAAATATATTAAGGTTAAATATTAACTTAAGCTATAATTAGCGCTTTTTATATTAATAGCTTTTATTATAAACTTAAAATAAATAATAAAGATTATTTATAATATTTACTAGTTTTTATAAACTAGAATCTTAAGCTTTAGTATTAATTTTTATACTTACTAATACTTAATATTATATATAATACTAACTACTATAACTTAAAGCTTTTAAAAATTAATAATATTATATCTTTAAGTATAGTCTTTTTTAAAGCCTTTATTTTATTTTTAAAAGAAGATATTAAGCTATTTATATAGACTTTAAAAAAGCTATAAAAGATTTTTTATTATTATACTCTTAAATATAGCTTTATAATAAATGCCTTTAATCTTTTTATTATTATTTTAAATTTTAATATTATAATAAAGGCTAGTCTTTATATAGCCTTTTTATTAATTTAGTAATAGCTATATATATAATATATAAAGAAGAATATTATTAAAGGCATTTAAATATAATAGCTAGCTAATAGTATGAAATTTAACTATTATAAGGATTAAGATTATTTCTTAAAAGACTAGAAAGATCTCCTTTATATATTAATAAAAGAAGACTTTAATCTTAAATAATAAAAGCTTTAACTTAACTATTACTAGTAAGAAGACTTTATCTTTTATATTAAAAAGACTTATATTACTATATAATAGCAGTAGGCTTTAGTATAAACTAAAAAATACTATAATTTTAAGTATATAATAATATCTTTTTATAAAGTATAATACTTAAGCTCTTAAATATTCCTTTATAATAAAAATTATATTATTTATAACTTTATTAAATCCTTTATTTAGTAAAAGATAGTTACTTTTAATAATTATAAAGTATAAGTTAGCTATAAGAGTTATTATAATTAAAATTCTTATTAATTTAGCCTTTATAAAAATATTTTTAAAAAAGTCTTATATAAAAGCTTATAAATAGTATAAGAATAGTATAACCTTATAAAAGTAGCCTTATTATAAATCTTTAATTAGCTATTAAAGCGCTATATAAAGCTATTTTTATTATAATTTAGCCTTTTTTACTATTATATTATTACTAACTATCTTAAGCTTTAAGTTAAAGAGACTTACTACTATATTATAATAGTAAGACTGCTTAAACTTAGTCTTTAAGATTAATAATAATTACTTTATAAAGATTTAGTAATTATATTTATCTTTAGCTATTATCTCTTATTTAAATTATAATTCTAATAGAAAATTAAATTAAAACTAACTTAATTTAAAAAATTTAAGCCTTTTAAATAATACCTTATTAATAATAATTTAAAAATAATAAAATCCTACTTTTAATTAATCTAGATAATAGTTAAAAGCTATAATAGCCTAAGGCTATAATTATAACTATTACTAC